GGGGGGGGGGGGGGGGGGGGGGAGGAGGGAGATTGCTTTGGGGGCTTCGTAGTCATATTATCATGCCGCCACGTACATCATCACAGTTCATTACAGCCTAGACTTGGACTCGACAAACTCGACCCTGTTGGTGCTAAGGGACAGAAACAAGTCAGCAAAGAAGAAGGAGAAGAAGAGAAAAGGGTTCGGCAAGGATGTATTCCCACTTACCAGGTGCCGACACCCTCGAGTCCGACCTCGACGACATCTCCGTCCTTGAGCCACAGCTGAGGCTTCCGGCCCATGCCCACGCCGGACGGTCTATATTATATAGCCCATATGTCAGCCTCTACACGTCCATCTTGGTTTTTATCTTGGATCTGGATAGGCAAGAAAACCAAAAGCCAGAAACCAAAAACCAAAGAAAACAACAACCGTAGAAGGGGAAAGGTAGCGTACGTTCCAGTAAAGATGAGGTCACCGGGCAACAGTGTGACACCCTGACTGAGGAAAGAGATGATCTTGCGGACATTGAAGATCATATCGGACGTGCTGCTATTCTGTGATCCGACCCACACGTTCAGCAGAGGGAAAAGGGGGGAGGAGGAGGGGGAGGCAGTCACTCACCTGTACAGTCTGTCCGTTGAGCTTCGTCCAGATGCGCAGACCCTGAGGATCCTTGATGGTCTTGGCGCTGACGATTCCCGGGCCGTAGGGAGCCCAGCCGTCGAAACCCTTGCCCAGGGACCACTGGCCCCCGCCCCTGTTGATCTGCCAGTCGCGGTGGGAGACGTCGTCGCCGACGGAGTACCCGAGGACGTAGTCGAGGGCGTCTGTCTCGGAGACCCCGGTGCAGCGACGGCCGACGACGACGACGAGCTCGCACTCGTAGTCGAGCCCGGCCGACTCCTGGGCCACGAGGGGTACCGGGATGGGATCCGACGGCCCGGCCGTGGACGTCACGGGCTTGTAGAACAGGACCGGGTACCCGGGCTCCGGGAGGCCCGTCTCCTTGGCGTGGAGGGCGTAGTTGAGACCCAGGCAGCGCAGCGTACCCGTCTGCGAGGGGGACAGCGGCGAGAGCAGGTGCCTGATGGTGGCGACCTGATCGGTCACGTGGTGGCGGCCCAGGACGTCGCCGTCGATGATGCGGGCCGTCCTGGCCTTGGAGATGTCCGTCTCGCCGGCGGGTAGGACGGCGTCGCCGTAGTATACCTGGCCGTCTGTGGCGACGAAGCGGACGAGGCGCTGCGAGGCTGTCAGTCCGTCTGCACGCGGCTTCACAGACGTCATGATCACTTTGAGAGGGGATCGTTCTTACCGAGAAGCTCTCCATTTTCTTTTTTCTTTTTCTTTTTTTTCTTTTTCCTTTTTTAATAATCAAGTTTTTTTTTTCTTCGTTTTCGCCACCCTATATTCTTATAATGAGAAGGATTTTTTTTTGGAGGTCTTTGGATGCGTGCTGTCACTGTTTTAGGGTTGAATGGTTTCTGAGAGAGAAAGTCTTCGGTGCAGGAGAGAGCAGGTCGGGGGAGATTGACGATATGTGCAGTGTTGACAAAGATGATTGAATTGCGTGATAGATATGGCTACTCTTACAATTCACCGGGGAGCATTCTCTTTCTCCACCTAGTATCACTCATCAATCTGTACAGATTACAGATTACATTATTACCGACCAACTTGATGATATAACTCTCGGAGCGGACCACGAGCCGAAGCTCCAATGCCAATCCCAACCGCGGAGAAGGAGGAGCAGAGGCGCTGTAGTTCGCTTAGCTAGAGGCCCATGATCCCTATCTACAGCGCCTTGTACCCCCCCTCCCAGGCCTCCCCACAGTGATCTCATAGAGCGCAGCTCCGTTAAGGAGGAGCTCTTCTCTCCTCCGGTCGAGACAATCTATTTGGAATCGTCAACTGGTCTGATTTTTTTCTCTCCCCCTTATTCATCCTTCTTGTATCTTCTCTCCATCTCGATAATACCCATCACACACCCCACCCATATACTCCCGTCCCAGACGATGCGTCTCTCCGGCCTGCAGAGAGAAGTCCTGTCGCTCTATCGACAGTGTCTTCGGGAATGTCGCAGAAAACCAGTGGTAGGTTATCAAAACGTCCATTCCATATCCCCGACTGGAAGAGAGGAGAGAAAGCAAGCGAGAGAAGCCGGAAATCACAGAGACAGAGACAGAGAGGAGGAGGAGGAGGAGGAGAGAGAACCGGGAGAAGAGACTGATCATGCTTGAATGTAGGAGAATCGCCAACATTTTGTGGATTTTGCCAGGTATGTTAGCAGAACGGGNGGGGGGGGGGGGGGGGCAGTGGGTGGAAAACTTACTCTGACACTCTAGTCGTCCAACGGGATAGAAGAGAATTCTCCCTCCAGCTCAACGTTCCCAAACGTGACTTTGCCGCCATCGAGTACCTGGTTCGGAAGGGGAGAAGGCAGCTCGACGTCTACTCCTCCCCTGGCATCAGGGACATCCGATGAGGCCGAGCCGTCCTCCTCGACGATCGACGACGACGACGACAACCTGGACGACTCGACGTCCTCGAGCCACCGAGGTAAGCTGATGCCCGGACCGGGGACCTCGGCGTCGGCGTCGGGGACGTAGGCGCAGCCGTCCTCGCTGGCCCTGCGGACGAGCTCGGGAGTGTAGAAGCAGGGGACCCTCCCACGGCTACCGCGGCTGCTGCGGGTGTCCATGTCCGCGCTGGACGTCGGGGTCGGCATCCCCGGGGAGGACTCGGGGGCGACGGGGGAGGGCTCGACGGCCCACTCCTCGGTGTCGCCCTCGCCGTGGCTGTGGCTGGAGGAGCCGCGCTCGCGCGCGCAGTTCCGGTCGATGTCGGCCGTGAATATGTCAGTGTGCAGGTGACCGATGGCCGTCTCCTCCTGCACGTCGTCCTGGCTGTTGATGTACGCCACGGTGGCGTCGTAGCCGTACCGGGTGCCGACGAAGCGCTCCCGCGTCGGCCGGTTCAGTGGCCGCTGCACCCGAGGCCTGCTCGGGACGGCGGGGTCCGTGTTGCATCGGAAGGTGCGGACCATGGTCGGATCCGGGTTGGCTGATGGTTGTGGTTCGTCTGTCTTTGCGGTCGTCTCGAGTTTGGCTTCTTAGTATCTTCTTGTTTCTGTTACTCACCTGTATGATGTCATTGTAAGGAAGAGAGAGGGTGTGCTAGTTGTACGAGTCTGAGATGAAGAGAGAGACGGAGAGACAGAGATATAGACAGATGGATGGATGGATAGTGGGTAAGTGGGAGAGAGAGAGAGAGAGAGAGAGAGAGAGAAACAGAATGGAAGCCGAAAGGTCGTCGTCTTCTTATACCTTCTCATGAGGTCGATTGTTTGCCTTCAAGGGACGTCCCTGGACTTCTCTCCATGATGGCTTCCCTTTTGTCTGCGTGCCGTGCCACTGCAGAGGTTCATGCATGGCGAATCGATTCCTCAGCCATGACATTGTTTACGACGCTCTTTGTCTGCTTTCCTTCTCTCTCATCTGGCAAACATGTCCGTCTCTGTCTCTGGCATGTACAAGAAGGAGAGACAAAAAAAGGCATTGTGCGTTTCCTGCAACAGTCCAAGCCCGGCGAACCGATCTCCTCGATATCGGTCTTGTCAAGAACATGCCTCTGTCTTGATCCAGATGTTTGCTCTTGGGCAGCAGAACACCGTCACCCTTTTTGTCGTAACCTGTACAGTGCCATTGTGCGTTTCCACGGCCGATCCGTCCCGGCGAACCGATCTCTCCCCCAAGGTAGATCTCTGTCAAAACAACCTTTGTTCCTTGTTCTGATTCTTTGTCCTGGTGTCTGCTCTCGGGAAGTAGACATGTTCAATCTTTTTGCCTTCCAAGTTCACAATGCCCTTGTCGTGTTCGTCCTAGTTTCCACGGTAGTGTCCAGCCCCAGCGAACCGATTCTCGCGAGGACAGACTGTTTTCTTCTTATTTTCTTCTTCCTTTTTTTTAAAAAAAGAAAAAGAAATAAAACAATTCCTTGATCTGTCTAGATATCTTTCCTGGACGCAGCATACATGTTCATCCTCTGTCTCCGAAACGCACAATGCCCTTGTGGTGTTCATCCGTTTCCACCATCGAGCACCCGTCAACGAATGGACTACCTCCTCACAGTATACGGCTACCCCCCCAGCCTTCCTTTGTTCTCATCCTTGACCACATTTCATTGATGCTATGCCTTTTCCGGCCCTTGCTCTTCTGTCCTTGATGGAACATGTTGGTTGCGGTCCTTTGTCACAAGGCCAGCACCGCCTGGTTTCCTCCCCCCTTTTTCGACCGCATCTAAGCTAATCTGAGAACCATCGTCCACGACGGCCAACAAAGAGGCAGACATTGCCCCTCGCCCCCCTTCTCACCTTGTCAAAGAGCTGCTTCTTTGGCTGCGATGCCATCCTTGCTGGAGCGGATTTTAGTATATGAAAGGTCCCTCTCTCCCATCCTCAACCTCTCTTTTCCTTCCTTCCCCATCCTCATCATATCATCAACAACTTCAGCCCAACCATCACGCAACAGCAGCAACTTCAAGCCATAGATTCCCCTTGACCACCAAGGCCAATCCTTCTAACCGCCACACCAATTCCTCATTTCTCAGGAGCCGGACCTCCACATCCCCCCTTCACGATGTGCATAGTCAAATACCAGTACGACTGCGGGCACGAGGAGCGCGAGTTTGTGCGCTGCGTATACCATGGTCGGGTAGCGGCCTTCTTCCGTGCCGTGGTCCACGACAAGGTCTGCAGGCGGTCGACCGCGGCTATCCGTCATAGGCTGTGCGTAGAGTGCGAGGCTGAGAGGCGTCACGGGTGCCGTCGCCGTCGCAGGGACGGACGGTCGTCCACCAACACCGACGCCGGCCACCCCCGTGGCCACGGCGATCGCGAAAGGCGTCGCCACCACCGCCTTGACCGTCCCTCGACCAGCGATGGGACCATGCCGACATCCACCGGCACTGACGAGAGGCAGGCGCGTCAGCAGCACCGCGCTAGGCAGGGACATGATCCCACAGACGTTCCCCGCCCCGTCAGGGAGCGTTCCGGCATCCATGCCCAGCGCGTTCGCCGTATGGAGCAGCAACCCAAGCTGCACACCTCCAGCGAGGAGGCCAGCGGCTCGCGCAGGCCGGGCACCGGTGGTCCTGCCAAGAAGGGGAGGCGTGATGACGGCTACGTCGTCGTCGAATCCGAGAGCGGCAGCAGCCGTCGCTCGGCCAGGGGTAGGTCCGCCAGCGATGCGGGCCCTAAATCCTCCTTCATCCCGAGCGGGGACTCATTCGGAGCAGAGGCTGAGTTCGCCCACGCCGGGTATCACCAGGGGCCATCGGACCCCTTTCTTGCCGACTCCGACTTGGCAGACGATGAGAGGTCAGTGGTGTCTTCCGTCCAGTGGCCCTTCCACGGCAAGTCCGCAGGAGGACGCGGCGTAGACAGAGCTGACAGCCAGAAAACGTCCACGACGTCATCCTCCGAGGGCAAGCGTATCCGGAAGCAGAAAGCTGCTTTCCGCCGTGGCGATGACGTCCACCAGGCTGTCGGCAGGCAGTGGGCTGCGGGTAACGTGACCGTTCATAGCAGCGGGAGTAGCGGGGCGAAGACGTACGGCGAAGTTCCGGCTTACCAGGGGTTCACCACTGGCTGCAGTGGTACTGTCCCCGAGTACTACCCTCCTCGCCCGCCCAGCTCGGTGTACGCGGGCGTCCCTGAGCCCGCGCCCTCGGCACCCCACCCCGGGGTCCGGCCTTCGCCCCCCGCCCCGAGTCATGGGCAGCGTGGTGGACAGTCCCGGCCCCAGGACCCGTCCCAGAAGGACCGGAGCAGGCCTCCCCTGACGCGCACTCACAGGGCGCCCAGGGCCGAGGACCAGCAGTCCCGCGGGAGCTTGGAGACGGAGCAATCGTCTCAGGTACGTCCACCCCCCCGTCCCCGCACTAACAGTGGCGCAGAAACAGGCGCCGCTTTCAACCCTGCCGGCATGCCGTCCATCGCCCCCGAACCGTCCCTGCTCAACCCCCGGTGCGCACCTCCGCCGCCGCCGATCGGCCTCCGGGGCTTCCGCGAGCCGGATGACAGGAGGGGCATCCACCTGCGCCAGCCCACCTCGTCCAGGAACACCTCGTTCCCTCACCAGGTTAACCCGGAGATCATCAACTCCAGCTGGGGCAGGAACCAAGGGTGCCCATCCCAGAGGAAGCGGTCTAACGCCAGTCAAGCTGGGAGCATGGGCGAAGGGTCCGGTATGATGAAGAGGATGGGCAAGTCCCTCCTTGAGAAGCTGCGCATCCGTGATGGCGAAGACGAGGATCTGGAGCCAGAGCAGACCGAGGTCTCGTTCATGTGCGTCGGTGCCAAGCAGCAGGAAGGACGCTTCTAAGGATGGAAAGGGAGAGGTTTGCACGACTTGAAGTCCCAGGGACTGGTTAAGGGATGTTTGTGTTTGTTTGCTTTCTGCTTCTTTTGTCATTTACCTTTCCCGTTCTTTCTTATCCTGTCTTGTTCTTCTTCCTTCTTCTTTTCCCTCTTGATCGTTTCCTCGTATCATATTTCTTTGTTTGTCACTTTTTTCTTTCTTTTTTTAGACTTTCTTCTTTTCTTGCTTTTTCGTTGTGTCTATTTTTTTATTGTTCATGCTGATGTTTGCTTAGATTAGAGTAAGACAACAAAAGGTGAAGAAAGGGTATAGAGAAAAACATGGAGCTTGGAAATCTAGGAATCCAGGAACATAATTTTAATTGTTTTGACATTTCGTTTGTTGTAAATTTTTTTTTTTTTTTGGGGGGGGGGGGGGGTTCAGTTGTTTAACATGGTAGTAAAAGATGCTTGGAGAAAAGAACAAGGACAGAAATGAATACAGATAAAGACAGAAATTTTGTAGAGGGAGAAGCGAGTAGAATGGAATGAAGAGTGAAAAGGTATAACGCGGAAAAAACAACAAGAAGTAAATCACCTCGGGGTTTCAAGTTCCGGTGCGAATCAAGAGCCGAGAGCGATGCACTAGGGCTTCCCCAGAGACTCGGAAATGTCTCCCCCTTCAAAGGAGGCAACGAGTTAGAGAAGCAAGAAACGTCGTCACAAAGACGGGGCGGTGCTCATGGGCAGCGTAGCTCAGTTGGCCTTGGTGCTCTTCTCTTGCGACTTGAACTTGGCAATCTCAGCATGCACCTTCTTGTTGACACGAGACTGGAGCTCGGGTCGGTAGCCGACGGTAAAGAGGATCTCGAGCCAGACGAACATGGGAGCGAGGAAGAGGGCCTGGACGAGGTTATCCAGGAGGGCGGGGGCACGGCGCTCGAAGAATCCGTGGCCGACGAACTGAATGACCCAGCAGACAATGTGGACGGCCGCGGCCGAGACCAGAGTGTTTTCCGGGTCGAGAGCCCTCAGGTAGTTACTGCCAGCCGCAGCGCCGACGCAGATTGCGGCGAGGACAAAGCCAGCCACAGGCTCTAATAACAGATACAGGGAAGAGTAGAGCAGAGCGGCGATGGTGCCGAGGTTGAGGTCCAGGTATGGCACGGTCAGCCACCCGGGGAGCTGGATGAGTGTACCCGTGTACGATGCCTAGAGAGGTGGTCCATGGTGAGCATCCATGGCATGGATGTATCAAGAGAAGACATGGGTTGGGCATGGCAATCATATACAAGAGGATTCTGTATAATGCCACGGGGCCTACTTACTAGGCAGAATCCCGAAAAGAGAATCAATGGCACGCAGACAGTGTGGATGACCACATTGGTGTGGTTGTGATGGTATGACCCATACTAACAGGGATGGCGGTCAGCGGCGGGATTGTGGACAGTGAAGTGACGGGATCTTGAGGTAAGGGCTCACAAAGACAAGGTGACGCTCAAGGTCGAGCGACATGATCTGAGATATGTGTGGTGGTGGCGTGGGGGAGGGGGGGAGAGAGGGAATGTGTGATTGTGGCCGTGGCCGGGGTGGGATGGATGAGGTCAAGGCTCCAAGGGGGGACGGTTGGTGAGCAGGGAAGGGGAATGCCTAGAGATTGTGAGGGAAAGAGAGGTGACCTTGAAGGAAAGAGAGAGTTATTACTGGCGAGTCGTTGCGGCAACCACCAAGTGACAGCAGACTCATGAGGTGGGAGCAGGAGGAAGGTGGTGAGGAAGTGTGGGAGGTTGGAAGTTGGGAGTGGAGGAGAGAAGTGCAACGAAGCCCATGGTGAGGTTCCATGCGATTTGTGCCTTTGTAGTCCTCCGTATTACGGAGAACTTGTTCGTACTGGGAACCCGAGGACGAATCAGGGGAAGCTAATACTAACGTGGGGCCGTAGAGTGCCGTCAAAGTTACGAGGAGACAAAGCAGGCAAGCTCTGAGGCTTCCCCACTACTTCTGCTGCTGCTGCTGCTGCTGCTGTGCTGCCGTGGCTCTACTATTGATACACAAGTTATATTGTAGCCTGCGGTGATCTTCCTCTCAGCCTCGATAGCTCCAACTGACCCCGTCTCCAACTTGAGCTTATATAATGGCTTGAGGATTACAAGTAGATTCGTAGCGTCTAGGTCTGGACCATGGAGTGACGAGACGTCGATGCCAGGTCTAATTGGTCGGCCATTATAATATTCAAACGCATGCACACATATAAATTCAGAAAAGAAGAAGAGAGAAACGTGGAGAAATAGAAGAGAAGAGTACAAGAGGGAGGAGGAGGGATACAGGCATAGAAGGTACCACTTTTCGCACTTGCCTGTTTGACGTTTTATCGATATCTCTCTTTGCCATCATCCCCCTCCTTCTGGACCGCACCTTCCCCATTTGCTGCCGATCTTTTTCTTTTTTCTTTGTTGAGGGCACACAAGAGGTCGTATCGATCAGGGCGAGAACTGTCCCACAAGCTGCCAGGCTGATGATGTATCAGGAAATCAGGTACAGCGAGATCACAGGTAAAGGTTCATAGGTACACTCTGATTCAGTTCCATTATTGGACGCATCATGTAATGCCATTTTGAAGTAGGGAATCCATCAATTTCGTGGTGTATGCGTATATGTGCTTGTTGGGTTTACTGTATATGATACTATGTAATAATACTAGTAGCACGGATACTACATGTAGTATACCATAGACTACAGTGCCCTCTACCACTAAGTGGTAATACATATTACATATTACTGTAATCTGTACAGTGACAGTGGTACTTGGCGTGCCTGACCGGTGGCCATCCGTCAGGCAGCCAAAGAGGAAGAAAAGAAAAAAACACGCACAGACCACCCTTCAGCCATGCAGCCGCGCCCGCTGGTTTGTGCCCATCGTTATTGTATTGATATTTCCAAGCTCTCCGCCAAGTCGTTTCATCCACCGCCGCCCACCAAACAACCTCCCAACCCATTTCCTCCCCCTCTGGCATCCCCCATCCGACTTGCCACCATCGCTGCCAACGGATAACTGGTCGGGGGGCTCAGCAGTGCCCGAGCGAGTCCATCAATTCCCTGGTCAGCGCGCGTGCCGCCTTGTCGTCCGCTCCGTGGTCCCGCTCCCATCCCTCGACGAACGACGAAGTACGGCGCACGGGACTACGACGACGCTCGCCTCTTGCGTCTGTCACCAACGCGCCCCGTATCTACGCTTTGAACCCAGTCGAGATAGCACGTCTTGCCGCTGCCGAAAAAAAAGTCCGTCGCTTACGATTCCTCCGGCCCGTCGACGACTGTGCGCGCACACGCACGCATCGACTCCACTGCCTGGCTCGCCGCCCAGCTCTGAACGCGCATTGCGAACCTGATCTCCTCGCCGATCATCCCGACATACCGTCATCATGTTTTTCCTCTATAACATGGAGCGCAGGGTCACCCTGCACCCGTCGTACTTCGGCCGTAACATGCACGACCTGGTGACGAGCAAGCTTCTCAAGGACGTCGAGGGTACCTGCTCGGGAAACTACTACATCATATCCATCATGGACACGTTTGACATATCCGAGGGTCGTATCCTGCCGGGTACGGGGCTGGCAGAGTTCACAGTTGGATACCGTGCCGTCGTGTGGAGGCCGTTCAAGGGCGAGACGGTAAGAGACAAAGCATCGATGCACCAATCATGGCCTTGTGTGCTGCTTTCCCATGGATGAGGTTCTCTGACGTGGGCAAAAAAAACAACCAGGTTGACGGTGTTGTCACCTCTATCAACCCCCAGGGCTTCTTCTGCCAAGTCGGACCTCTCAAGCTCTTTGTGTCGGCTCACGTATGTTGTCTCTATCCTCACACAATGCTAATGGGAGTCTGGCTCTGTTGCTGACGTACGTCGTCCCACCCTTCACTGCAGTTGATCCCCAATGATATCCAGTGGGATCCCAACGCGACGCCTCCCCAGTACACCAACAACGAGGATACCGTCATCGAGCCGGGCACCCACGTCCGCGTCAAGATTCTGGGTACCAGGAGCGAAGTTGGCGAGATGTGGGCGATTGGCAGCATCAAGGAGGATTACCTCGGGTATGACCTCTGGGATGTGTCCTTATCACATTTTGCACATGCTAACGTGATTACCCCTTTACCAGATGCCTGCAGGATTAAAGAGCACCACTACTGCTACTAGCCTAGACGAGGGAGGTTTGCAGCGCCATTCTGGAAATTATGTTGAAGCGACTTGGCATTTGATCGAGAGTCTTCCCGGATGAGGACGGGAAAAAAGATGATTAGAAGGGGAAGCAGGAGAAGAGAAAAATCGACTACGACCTCGAAAGAAGAAAAGAGGGGAAATCTCCACGGGGGGCCGTCCTCGGCCACCGTGATGACAGCTGCGGTGTATCACACCACCTTGATCTGCTGTTCCATGCGAGAGACAGGAGCCGACCTGTGTCCTCCCTCCTTTTACCCCTCCTCAGCAAGAATCTCATGAAGACACATAATTGTTTATACAGTCGGGAAACCCTTCAGCATCGTCCATGTAAGACGTGCCTAGATCTGGATAATGTGCTTCGATGCCACAGAGAATTGGATACCAGCAGACTGTCTATTTCCATGTTGCCGTTGCATGATGTGTTACTGCAAAGACGATGCCTGCCTGCCATGCAGTCAGGACTTGCTTATTACTAACTGCACGTGAGGCGGGCTGTCTGTGCCGACCCTTGCTGCTGGGAATGCAAGGAGCATGGAGCCATAAGGAGAAGACTCATCGTCCAACAACAGGCGATGCTATAAATTACGACACCGTCACGATCAATGGGACCTGATTGGCCGCGTGACATCTGTCATCTGCCTCCACGATGGTGCCTCGTCCCGCGCTCTATTCTGTGACCGACACCATGCTAGATCTATAGATCTACCAGGTGCTCTCTGCCACAACCCCCCCCCTAACAGTTCAATCTTGCGGATGTAGAAAATATATTAGATCGAGCCTAGTTCAGGAGAATCTCTTTGCAATGTAGACATCCTACCCATGTCCAGTTAACACTCAAGAGGTAGGTGGGTGCTGTTATCTTATATATACGAGAGAGGGGTCAAATGTTCCCCACCACTCCCCCCAGCTTTTCTTCCCCGCGTTGACTCTTGTCAGCAGCACCCTACAAAGACATTGCGTCGGCTCGACAGTTCGAAAAGGGAATGTTGCAGTGAATAAACATCTCGGCTATTCTTCCAGACTACCTTGCCCCCTCTTGTTCAATCTCGTGCTCTTCTTACCTTTCTTGCTCCTGGGATACCATTGCTATAATAAATATCATGCGTCTGAGAGGAACAAGGCTTGCCCAGCAAGTAGCCTGGAGCACCGTCCTTCAACGACGTGGGTACTCGACCAAGAACAAGATGCAGGCTTCTACTAGGGTTGGTACAGCCCTGGCCGAGGGTCGCCAGTCGCTGGGAATGTGGCAGATGATCCCGGGGGCAAATGTGTCTAGGTTGCTGGCTAGGTCGGGCGTGGACTGGGTATGCATCGACTGCGAGCACGGAAACATAGATGGTATGTGATGCACGGTGGGAGGTCGATCAGCTCCACCCTTTTTCCCCCTCTATCTTTTCTTCTCCTTCATGCTAATCGTGTCTTTGCTACTCTCCTTTCAGATTCTGCAATGCATGATGCTGTGCCTGCTGTTGCGGCTCTGGGTGTATCCCCCATCGTCAGGATACCCGATATGCAAGGGTGGATGGTGAAGCGTGAGCCATCCCGTCTTCGTCGATGTGGAAGATCAGAGCTTTAATGTGTCGGAGACTACAGGGGCCCTTGACAGCGGTGCACACGGAGTATGCATATCATACAGAGACACCCACCAGCCGTCGATGCAGATGCTAATACGGCGAGCAGATCATTGTGCCCCTCCTGAGGACAGTCGAGGACGCCAAGCAAATCGTCCAGGCGGCCAAGTTCCCCCCCATCGGCCGTCGAGGTTTCGGCTCGCCCATTGCCATGGAACGCTTTGACCCCGTCCCCACATTCACGCAGTATCTCCGTGGAGCGAATGATTCGATCCTGACCATTGTGCAGATTGAGACGCAGGAGGCTCTCAGCTCGGTGGATGATATTGCTGCTGTGGAGGGAATCGATGTGCTCTTTATCGGTCCATTTGATCTAGGTAGGTTCATCAAGGTGAAGTCAAAAGACGAACATGTCAAAAGAAAAGATATCATACATGGTGTTGATGTACAGAAAAAGCGCTGACAGAAGGTGGCAGGTAACAATATCGGCCACCCCATCATCGACGGTGTCATCCCCCAACAAGTCAGCGATGCGCTGGTCAAGGTCCAGCATGCCTGCCGCAAGGCCGGTAAGAAGAGCGGCATCTACGCCACGGGCCCTGAGCAGGCGAGGCAGTTTGCCGAGAAGGGGTTCGAATTCATCAGCGTCGCGACGGACTATACTACGCTCGAGTTTACGCTCAAAGAGTCGTTTAGCGTCGCGAGTCGCACGCCTGCTCCGGCCAAGGGAAAGTCATACTAGGCTGCCGGAGGGGAGGCTTTCATAGCTTCTCGACATGGTCCATCTTGGCCTCGACCTGTTCCGGCGTAAAGCGGTGCATGAGCTTGACGGCCTTGCTGGCTGTCGTTACATCTTCCGGGGCAGCATCAGCCTTGGCAATATGAATCTATACATTTTTTTTCTCTCTCTCCAATGTTAGACCTGAAAATATAACGGCTTCGAAACGCCGGGTCTTTGTTCTGCTCCGTGCGCCACATGAAAAGGGGTAAAGAAAGAAACGTACCACTGGTACATCGAAATCGTAGAGATCCCTCCATTTCGATCCTGGAGCATCGACATTCTCCTCTCGATACACAAAGGGTCGACGATCCCACACACGCGAAAGGTTGTCCCTTCCCTGGTCGCAGAGGCCACAGCCCGGACGGGAGAAGAGGGTGATCCTGCAGGCCTGCAGGAGACGTCTTGTAGCAAACATAGCTGGCAGGTGAAAGCTGATGAATTCTTTCGGGGGTGAGGGAAAGAGATAGTGTGGGAGCTAGCTCAGATCTTCGACATCTTACGAGTAATAGCACAACGTCGAAACCGGCCCTAGTAAGGGGGGGGGGGGGGGGGAGGAACCGGACAAGCTACCATGCATGCAGGTAAGCTACCAGATGAGGAAAGCGGTGAGGCCGTTGTACTGTATCTTGTCGTCACCGGTCTTCTAGAACATCCCACCCCACCAACATTCGCTCCATTGCATCTCTTCTGTACGTTTTGTTTCCATTAAATTCCCCAGCTTCTTGCTTTCTTGTTTCGCAGGCCACGAACCGCCAATTTACAGCTCTGCTCCATAACCTCCCTTTTCTTCAATCGCGGGGAAGAACTAGCGCCTTTGTCAACAATGCCGCAAAAGTGTGTCCATCAAGGCTGTGGGAAGGTGTTTACCGATGCCGAGGAGGAGTGCGTCTACCACCCGGGACCACCGATTTTCCACGAAGGGCAGAAAGGTATGAACATGCCTGGAAAGGCACAGGCCTACGACGACTATTCTTTATTCCAAGGAAAGAATCTAACGGGAACGGATACTGCTCAGGGTGGAAGTGCTGCAAACCCCGCGTCCTGACGTTTGACGAATTCATGGAGATCCCACCCTGCACGACGGGAGTGCACTCGACGACCGACAAGCCACCGCAGCTCGAGGAGAAGGAGCCGGCCGTGGACGATGCGGTTCTGAACCGCAAGATTGACTCGCTCAACGAGTCAGCCGGCGCCACTGCCGACCCGGGGCGCGCACCCATCAAGCCTACGGCGCAGGCGTCAGCAGCAGCAGCCACGACGACCACGGCCCCGCCCCCCGAGTCCGAGGACGACGACCCGAGCCTCGAGATCCCCGACGGAGCCGTGTGCCGCCGCAAGAAGTGTGGGGCCCGCTATGCCAAGGGCCAGTCACGCGATGCCGGCGAGAAGTGCACCCACCACCCCGGTGTGCCCATCTTCCACGAGGGCAGCAAGGGATACTCGTGCTGCAAGAGGCGTGTGCTCGAGTTTGACCAGTTCATGCTTATAGAAGGGTGCAGGACAAAGGACAGGCACCTGTTCGTCGGCAGTGGGAAGAAGGACAATGTCGACTCTGCGGGGGAGGAGAGGTTGACGACGGTCAGGTATGTTCCACGCCACGCGCCGCGCCGCTGACCCGAGAAAGAGACGAGAAGCAGAAGCAGAACTGCTCACACGATCTTTTCGATATAGACACGACTACTATCAGACCCCCTCGACCATCATCGCGTCCATCTTCCTAAAGAAGATTGTCAAGGACAAGGCCAAGGTCGGCTTCGAAACCCAGTCGGTGGATCTGGACCTCACAACCAGCGACACTCCACCCAAACGATATGTCAGCAGCTTTCCGCTCTTCGGGTCCATCGACACGGACAAGTCGACGTTTAAAGTTCTGGGGACAAAGTTGGAGCTCAACCTTGTCAAGGCAGATGGTGCCCCGTGGCCGGTGCTACGTAGCGACGAGACGCTGACCGGGGAGATTCTGCAGATTGGAAAGGCGGGGAAGGCATAGAGAAAAAAAAGATGAAGAAGGAAATTTTGTTTGGGGGGGGGTAAAAGGTACAAATGTATAACGAGAGATGATGACGACGATGACGACGAGTTGACCGTGGACAGGGGACTGAGGCACGGGATGATGAACATAACCGGTAGGCAGGGGGCGGTAAAGAACTAGACGGTGACAGTAATATGTTATTTCCTCTTCTTCTCTCTCTCTTCTTACCTGGTAATCCGAACAGTATCATTGCGAGCGACTTGGATCTGGTGCTGTCGGCATAACCCCTGTCTACTCATACACACCCACGGCTGTAGAAGGGAAGGAGAGGGGATCGCGTTCTGATAAGCTTAACAGTAAGAAACGCAGATGGCAGATGATGCCCTATGGGAGGAGACCGATGTGTCATGCAACATGATATGATAAGAGGTTGGGGATGAGAGATGATGGTGCCGCTGTAACATGGGAAAGGGGGGGGGGGGGGGGGGGGGGGGGGGGAGATATGGGGTATTATGTCATTCAGTGACGTTTACGGGTCACGACTGAATTTACGTGTTGACAGCTGTACATGCTCGTATCGTGGGCAGTTGAGAGGGACACGACGCAATATTATCACAGGTAGGGTAAGGTAGGTGGCACTCGACTCGTATAACGACACACGATATGCTAGCATTTCTCAGTATTTATTACTTGCATGAACTCTTCCTCTGAGTAAATACGGCTACGTAAACATGTAGCCCACTCACTGGTTACCGGGAGGAAATGTCCGTCATCCTCCCACGCCGAGACTCCCGCTAAGATAAGGTGGCGTCTTGGTCATTGCCAATTGACAATTCGTTTGCTTCAACCGTTTTCCCTTATCACACGGGGCATGCAACCGAAGCCGGTTGTGACCAGGAACCATGACAAGGTTATTTCCTGAGCACGAGTGATAATAAGTGGTAGTATCCGTAAATGATAAAAAAAATTAAAAAATAATAATGAAGTAAAAGAGGATGTCGTCTCTGGGCACTCACGACTGAGAAACAGTTCCTGTCATAAAGAGAGGCCTTCTCTTCCCACCTATCCCCCCCCCATCACGTTACGCCTTATTGCAACCCCTCCTCTCTCTCTCTCTCTCTCTCTCTCCCTCTCTCCCTCTCTTTCTCTCTCTATCTCTCTCTATCTCTATCTTAGTCCCGTCTTATCTGCCCGTACCTGATATCCCTTTCCTACAAATTATCGTGGTGCATTTTATTTGTTTTCTCTCTTTTTTTCTTTTTTCTTTCCTCACTTCTCCAATCTCCATCACCATTCACCTGATCCACACACATCATCATCCTCAATCATGTCGACCGAGGTGTCTCACGGCCGCGGCGGCGCCGGTAACATCAACCCCGACGAGACTGAGTATGTCGACGGCTCCATTGTCCGCGTGGGTCCCGAGGGCAGTCACGGAGACGGTGCATACAGCGCTGGTCGGGGAGGTTCGTCTTCCCCTCCTTTGCACTCTTCCCCTTCCCTTTTCTGTGCTTGTCCTCTTCTTTTCACATTGATTATCCCCTCCATGACAGTCGCATCTCCTACGATACCTGTCGCCAGTCCGGGTGGGAGGGCCACTCAGCTGCCATCGAGCCCGTCGTGAACCCAGTGTGCTGACTAACACCCCGGTTAGGAGTTGGTAACATTGGCGATGCCGGTACGCTGCCCTCTGAGCGCAGGGACAGCGACATGGTCCCTGAAGAGGCCAGGAAGTCTCTCGAGCCCGGCGAGGCCCACCACCTTGGTCGCGGCGGCATCGGCAACGAGCAGCCCGCCCCGGAGGACGGCAAACCCAAGGCTCCCGCCGCCGAACCCAAGCCCAAGGTCCCTGTCGGCCTCGCCGACAAGCTCAAGAACAAGCTGTTTGGAAAGAAGTGAGGGCGTAGGTGGAGATAAAGGAGCAAGGTAAATGAAGAAAAACAGTTATGGAAGGAATGCTAGACCAAGGGACTGACAGAAGGGAAGGGGGGGGGGACGTTTCCTTTTTTTGACTAATACCAATGATATCCTTTGTTTTTTCTTTTGGCTAAACTCGACAATCTCTGTTTCGCAATACATCAACATATTAACTCTAGAAATCCTCGGAACATGTTGACGAAATCTCGGAGTGGCCTTGATTGTATGTTATCAATCAAGAAACCAAGCACATGTTGGCTAGAACATGTCTCAGCCAATCGCCGACCTGACGCCACAAGCACATCCCTCACCGAAATGAAAACATTCGCTTGGCCCTGGGCGTGTCAGATACGCCGAGAGAGGAATTCAGCATCTAGATCTTGGTCTTAGCTGTCATGTCTGTGCGTAAAATAGTCTAAGACAGACATGGCCATGTGGTTTCTTTATAGAGGGGTTGAGAGACATCAGATAAGAGATCTGGAATTCGATTGTGCTCTAGGGATGGAAGATTCCCGGGGAGGGGAAGTAAAGGCATTGCCCTGGTTGCTATACGGACCGTCACAGCTCGGCACTCCAATGCAGAGCGGTGATGGTGGTGGTGACTAGCTAACCGGCGACGGTGACTAGCTAACCGGCGACGGTGACAGCGGCGACGGCGGCTAAAACGTACGGCAGCATGCAGTCAGTTCAACCACGGAACGACTTGACGTATGCTTCTTTCTGCAGGGCACATGACACACATGTACGGGTAGAAAACCAGGCAGTATTACTCCACCGCCTCGAGGTAGTAGTGGTTAGAGCAGCAGTAGTCATCACTAGTATGCATGGATGGTAAAAAAAGATGGCAGAGCTAGGAAAATGACGACACAGAGGTTGCATCGGCGATCATTCATCCATCCATCCTCCTGCGTGTTGCGTGCGCAGCTAGATGGTAACAGGACAAAAAGAGAGAGAGAGGGAGAGAGAACGTGAACCGTGAACTGTCAGTATGCGAGACACACATGCCAACCAGCTAGACCTCGACAAAGCAAGGCCGACAACAGGCGTCCAGCTATGTTTGAATGTTTGGAGGAAGCTGGAGAGGCTGAAGTAGTGCGGCGCGTCAGGCGGACCTCATTCGCTGAGAGGGAGTCGGCTCTATCGTCTGATGACCTCTTCTTCTGGGTTGGGTCACTCCCCGCCCCCTCCTCCCTTTCAATGTCTTGATCGTTAGCAGTACCTATGTTAGTGTCAGTACCTGTATTATTATTAGTATTCCCCTCCTCCTGCTCGTTGACACCCCCTCATTTTATCTTCTAGCTATTCCGTTATAGCGTGATGTTATTCCTTCTTGATCTCTTCTCTCTCTCCCCCCCCCTCGCTACTGCTAAATATACTTTTCATGATTATGGGAGAGGAGGGACACACAGACACACAGACACACAGACACACAGACAGAGTTCACGTTGCTCGTACGAGTTGTCATCCTTCGTTAAAGCAAGGAGGACCAATTAAGACGTTCACGTGCTTCGTTTGTCTGGCGGCTATCAGCGGACAATCACCTTATCGGCTTATCGGCTTATCACTATCCCGCACCTGATAACCTAAGCAGCCTAGGGTCGGTCGGGCAGGTCCCTTCCTCTTCCGGTCGCGTGCCATGAACTTTCAGGACCCAAGGCCTTCTCTACGGGGCACAAGGCATTGGTCCGGTCGTTCCGTTCTATCACGACGCTCCCTTCGCTCCTTCACCACCTCGTCATTCGAGGCCGACGACGAACGATCATCCACCGAAGGCGGACCTTACGACGACGAAGACTACTCTCGCTTCTATTACGGCATGAGCTCCTCTCGCAGCAGCAGTACCGCGCCTGCGGGTGAAGCTCGACATCGTCATCACCAGCCATCGACCGTCGCTCTCTATCCTGGCTACGATGGCCGTCCGACCAGTCGCAAAGAGCTCGCCGGATGGTTCATGTATTCTTTTGCCGCCGAGACCTATGTGATCTGTGGAATTGGTACTCTCCCCCTCTTCATCCTAGACCTCTGCTCCCTTCACTATGAAGGAGACCCCCACTCCTCCCAGCAAGTCTGATTACTTACACCGCTGCCCACCTCTCCAGGCTCCTTCATCCCCATCCTCCTCGAGAGCCTTGCCCGCGAAAACGGCGTCTTGTATTCCAACCCGGATGTGCCTTGCGGATCGAGCGATAGCAAAAATCAGGATGACGGTGGCCAATGCGTCGTCTTCATCCTCGGAATCCCCGTCAACACGGCTAGCTTCGCCATGTACACCTTTTCCGTCAGCGTGCTCCTGCAGGCCTTGCTGGTTGTGAGCATCAGCTGCGCCGCCGACCATGGCAACTACCGCAAGAAGCTTCTGCTGGCCTTTGCCTGGCTGGGTAGCTTGTCCGTCATGGGCTACATATTCGTCACCAAGGAGACGTACCTTCTCGGCGCCATCCTCACCATCATCTCCAACACGTCGTTCGGCGCCTCATTCGTCCTCCTCAACTCGTTCCTGCCCCTGCTCGTGCGCAACCACCCGGATGTCATTGCTGCCCGCAACCCGCGTACACCCGATCTGGCCGACTCGATGCTCGAATCCAGACCCCTCGAGGACTCGACCGGGAGCCTCGACGTCGACAGAGCTGACGCCACGTCCCCCCTGCTGCCCGATGAGTCGCTGCAGGCCTCCCAGTCGCGTCTGGGCAGCAAAGCCTCGCCCACCGAAGTCACGTCCAAGGAGCTGGAGCTGTCAACGTCCATGTCATCCAAGGGCGTGGGCATCGGCTACAGCGCTGCCCTCTTCCTGCAGTGCATCGCCATCGGCGTCCTCGTCGTCATGCAGAACACGACGTGGTCCCAGCGCGTCGTCCTCTTCACCGTCGGCCTGTGGTGGACCGTCTTCACCATACCTGCCGCCTTGTGGCTCCGCCCGAGACCCGGCCCGCCGCTGACGGATGAGCACAAGGGCCGTCTCTCAGGCTTGGCATACCTCGTATTCGCGTGGAAGTCTCTGTACCGCACCGTCAGGCTCGCGCGCCGGCTCGTCGATATCACGCTCTTCCTGGCCAGCTGGTTCCTGCTCTCCGACGCCGTCGCCACCACGTCGTCGACGGCCATCCTCTTCGCCAAGACGACGCTGCACATGCGTCCCTGGGCTCTGGGTATGATCAATGTCATCACCACCATGTGCGGCGTCATCGGCGCCTTTGGCTGGTCTTGGTTCTCGCGCACCTTTGGCCTGCAGCCCCACCACACCATCCTCGTCTGCATCGCCCTCTTCGAGCTCATCCCGCTCTACGGCCTGATGGGCTACCTGCCCTTTGTCAAGGAGTGGGGCGTCCTCGGCCTCCAGCAGCCGTGGGAGATGTACCCCCTCGCCGGCATCTTCGGGCTCGTCATGGGCGGCCTGGGCAGCTACTGTCGCTCCCTGTACGGCGAGCTGATTCCCCCCGGCTCCGAGGCTGCCTTCTATGCCCTGTACGCCATCACCGACAAGGGGTCCAGCGTCTTCGGCCCCACCATAGTGGCCGCCATCATCGACAGGTCGGGCAGCATCCGACCGGCGTTCTGGTTCCTCGCCGCCCTAGTCGGGCTCCCTGCGCCGCTCGTCTGGTTCATCGACGTCGAGCGCGGCAGGCGCGAGGGCGAGAGGCTGGCTACCAAGATTGAGTGTCTCGATGGGCCTATGGGTTATGGCGCCGTCGACCAGGCGATGACCGACGAGGACGGCACGGTCGCCAGCTACACTGACCAGACCGAGCATGACCGAGTCACACCCCGTGCAACCGCCCAGGATCGTTGATTGATATCTACGTCGCATTTTGCTCCCTTTTTTTTTTTTTTGAAGCATAGCATCGGAGTTTTCCTGTTTTTCCTCTTGTCCTCTTCTTGCGTCTTTTGGTATCTCTGCCATCTCTTCTCTCTTGGATCTTATGTGGGCAAATAATACCACACCATCACTGTTTGATATTTAGCTACAAGAATGTACAAGCATTGGCATTCAAGTCACACGTGACTGGTATAGTATTACATTACTCGTACCCATATGCGAATCCACATGCTATCACAACTACTATACCGCTAGGACAATAAAACAAAGACAGATATAAATCACATAATACACGTGGACAGATGCGTCATGAGCGGCAAATCGAAACTGAACATTCTAATGCTGTCTTACATGACCGCTGAGTCATCATGCTCCCGAGTGAAGCTCCACCCCCGCGCGCCTAGGAAGCGCACCACTTTCTTGTCCAAGTTCTTACTACCCGATGGCGTTGTGCTCCCCCCCCCCTCCTTATTGTTATCCTACACATCCTCAGTGATTTTTATGGGTCCCTTCTTTTTTCCCCCTCCGCCCTGTCTCCTCCCATCGCCCTCATCTAGCAATACTGCTTGCTGCCTACTAGTAATCATCCGTTGTGTCCTAAATTCTCCATCTCCGCCCCAAAAATAAAATAAAAATCTCCCAGAAATCGAGAGCTATAAAACTTTCCCCTCCTATTGTCCTCTCCTCGTCTCTTTCCTCCTAAAGTCTCTGTTAACTTATAAGTTTTTTATTTTATTTATAAAAAGCTATAGGTCTTTAGCGCTAAGCTATAGCACGTAGCTAGATCAGCACCCCTCAAGGCTAGTCGTGGGTGGGGGGCCTGTGGCTGCGGCTGTGGTTAGGGGAACCGCTGGAAGGTTTCGTGGTGGCAGAGAGTGCCACGAGTTTGTGTGCTATGGTCCAAGACATAAAAGTAAATTAGAGCTTCTCCGGGCCAGGAGGGGTGTCGGTGCTCCTCGTGGTGCGGCAGAGAGGGAAAGGATCCGAATGGCTGCCTCGGATCTGAAATAGGTACGATGGGATGGATAGAGTGGCAAAAAGCGCTCTCTGCTGATATTCGACGAGCTTAGAGCTCAGCATCGTGTTGCAGACCGTGTCCAGGTCGATGTGCTGTTGCAAACGTACTGCAAGACTGCAGCGAAGAAGTTCCTGTGAAGCATCCACGATGGCCCCATGAGGGCCTGCTTATACGTCTCTCCTACCTTTCCTCGAGCCCGTTTGCCGCCATGCTGGTTGCGTGTAGCCGCCGATGGCATTGGTATAGCTGTGCTCGGGAAGGCCAAAAAAACTCGTGCCTGGGGCACCCATTTTCGTGCCTCAGGACTGCGACACACGCACTTACTCTGTAATAATTACCGTTGCGTGTTTCCTTAACTGGTCAGTGCCGAACGTTTGACGGATTGAGGGGGAGGAAAAGTCATAACGGTTAGCCAGCGACGCGCGCAGTTCAGACCAAGCGTCGGCACAGACAGCCACCTGGGCACCCAAAGGACCAGGACGAACAAAAAATAATTGCAGGACACGACATCAGTCCTTTCCTCACACGCGTAAAGTCAACGCGGCAACGCACCCCCGTACGATCCGAACCAAACCGAACGACGAACTCTGTTTGCCATCGAACAGCTCGAAAAAAAAAGAAGAAGAGATCAAGAAGGGAAACCGAAAAAAAATAAAAGAGAATTGCTGCCCGTTGCCGTGGTGCGTGCACTTTTTCGACATCACGACAGAGAGAAAACATCCATCCCCGACATGAGCCTCTCTAAAAAGAGGTCGCGCCCCGAGGCAGACGAGAGCAGGGCAGAATGCCCTTACTCGGTGCGGCAGAGACCACCTACGGCCCAGGAAAAGACCCGGTATCTAGAGAAGAAGGCGAGGCGCGAGAATATGGAGGAGGATAGGAAGGCAGAGTGGCACTGGCAGGCTAGCCCCTTCAACGCGACGGGGTTCGCCAAGACATCTGAGTCTCTCGACGTCAAGTATGCTGTTGATCCGCTGTCACGGTGGGCTGACATGACCCGGTATAATAGCTTTGTCTGTGAGTCCGTCCGTGTTTGGGAGGCAGAGGTGGAGAGCGGAGAGGGAAGGGTGTGTCTGAGCTGACGACGAGGATGCCCGACATAGTGGGCAAGGAGAAATTCCACACCGACGACTTCGTATTCGTCGCCAACGAGGAGAGCGTCAAGAGACAGAGGAGCAACGATGGTAGCAACGCCCACGGCGTCGCAGCGCGAAGGAACAATGGCGACTGGGTTGCCAAGATCTTGGAGATACGGGCGTCGGACGAACAGCACGTGTATGCCCGCGTCTTCTGGATGTACTGGCCCGACGAGCTACCCGCGGGGACGTACGTGGGCCGCAAGACGATCAGGGGTGGTCGGCAGACATATCACGGGAAGCACGAGCTTATTGCGTCTAATCACAGTGAGTCCTTGTCGACGACACGTGGTCTGATGGAGGTTTCCCTTTTTGCTGACGTCGGGGACAGTGGATGTCATCAACGCCGTCAGCGTGACCATGGCGGCGCAGGTCAATCACTGGGTGGAGACGGACGAGGAGGATAACCAAAGCTCCCTGTACTGGCGACAAGCTTTCAACTGCAGCACCAGCCGACTCTCGGTAAGTACTGCTACACCCGCTGCTCTGCCAGGTGAAGGAAGCAGCAACTGGCGAAGAGGAGGGACGGACGAGAGCTGACAGCATACGTGCAGCCCGCCAAGGAAGTCTGCAGATGCGCATCCCCGGCTCATCCGGACAGGGTGCTCGTCCGCTGCTCGAGCCCCGACTGCAGTCACTGGATGCACGATGATTGCCTGCGTCACGACACTCTCATGCGAGTATTTGAGCGTCTGGGCAAGACGAAACCACAAACATTCGACGACGACGAAACCATGATCGGACCATCACAGCAGCAGCAGCAGCAACAACAACAACAACAACAACAACAACAACAACAACAACAACAACAACAAGTAACTATCGAGGAGAAGAAGAAAGAAGACGAGGAACAACAAGGGGAGGTCATCAGGTCGGAAGAGCAGGTGATGACGATGCAACGGCACCAGAACAGCACCCCCAGCGCCAGCGCCAGCGCCAGCAACGGCAACACCAGCACCAACGGCGCCGACACCAGCGGTGTGCTGTCCCCCGCACAGAAGGCCATGCTGCCCCTCTTCGTGAGCTCGAGGCAGACGCCAGACTCGGCCTCGCCGTCTAAGAAGGCAGCCGCACCGCCCAGGAAGGTGCCGTACAAGGGACTGTTTGAGGCCACTCTCCGGCTTGACGATGGGCCTACGGCATGGGTCGTCAAGGATCTGAGGGGAGATGTGGTGGGTGGACATAAGATGTGGCTGGAGCAGGTGTTTTGTCTGTTCTGCAGCAAGACGATTGACTAGGGGAGGTCTCTATGATGGGTCTATTTTTATTTTTTTATTTTAGGGGGTAGCGTGCTTTTCTTCTTGTTTCTTTCGATATGTACGGCGTTTGACTGGATACCAAAGTTTTGGTGGGAGAAGATGTTTGAAGTTTTTTTCTTTTGGAAGTAGAGCGTTGATGGGTTGTCGGGCTCCAATGCTCATGTTTGCTTGTATGTGTGTTGTCTCTGGAAAGGAGTTGTATATATCGTAACATTAGTGCCGTAGCTATTACATGTATGTGCATGCGCTGGATATCGTGAGCTTTTTTTTTCTCTCATTGTCAGGTTAACGAGTGACGGATGTAGACATTGCAGAGAGTAGGTGAAAGATGGAGCGGCAGGAGTAGAGAAGAAGAAAAGAAGAGGAAAAAGGAAAGGGGAAAGAAGGAGGGAAAATAAGTTTTGATATGCAATGTTCAGAGTAGAAGAAGAGCGATGATGGTGACCGTTGGAGAAGGTATTAGTAGGATTGTAGTAGAGATGGGCCGAGCTCATGTGGGGGGGGGGGGGGGTTCCCATTCCCACCTTGGGGCCAAGGTTGACCCCGCCGCTCTTGACCTCTCCCTCTCTATTTCGAATGTTTCCATTTACTACACCACCATTTCCAATTCTCCACGACGGGTGAATTCATCCGCACGACGAGGGACTTTTTTTTGGTTTTTTCTTCTCTGTTATATCCTTTCTTCTTCTTCTTCTTCTTCTTCTTCTCCTCTCTCTTCTAGATCCAGAAGGTTTTCCTTCACAACCACACATCATGGCTGTTGATCCTTTTGACTCGGCGCTGTAGGTTTTGCCGCTTCCCCCTCCCTCCCCTCTCCTATCTGGATGGATCTAACTGGACTTTTTTATTGTTGTTGTTCCTGCTGCTGAACGACCCGACCGACTAAAACTGACCATCTGGCTGACCAAAAAAAATGAAAAAAAAAACCCCCATTCTCACAGTGACCTCCTCCGGCGCCTGAACCCCAAACACACGACCGACCACCTCAACTCCATCATGTCGCTGGCCCCTGACCTGACCGAGGACCTCCTGGCTTCGGTGGACCAGCCCCTGACGGTGAAGAGGTGCCGCGACACGGGCCGCGACTACCTCCTGTGCGACTACAACCGTGACGGTGACAGCTACCGGTCCCCCTGGTCCAACAAGTTCGACCCGCCACTCGAGGACGGCGGTTCCGGCGCAGCGGCCGGCAACGCCGGAGGCGCTGGCGGTGTGAGCGCGAGCGGTGCCAGCGAGGGTGCCGGTGAGGGGGCCATCCCAAGCGAGAGGGTGCGCAGGATGGAGATCAAGGCCAACGAGGCCTTCGACGTCTACAGGGAGCTGTACTATGAGGGTGGGGTGAGCAGCGTCTACTTTTGGAACCTGGATGATGGGTTTGCCGGTGTCGTCCTCGTCAAGAAGTGTGAGTTTCGGGATCCAGCCAAAGGGAAAAAATTCTGGGTGGAGAGGGAGAGGGAGAGAGAGAGAGAGAGAGAGAGAGAGAGAGAGAGATAAAGAAGGGAAAGCTGACGAAAAGTTACCTGTAGCATCCCCCTCTGGAGAAGGAGTGTGGGACTCGATCCACGTCTTCGAGGCCATCGAGCGGGGCCGGACGACTCACTACAAGCTCACCTCTACGGTGATCCTGTCCCTCTCATCGGCCGCGACCAACACGCTGGGGGACATGGACCTGAGCGGTAACATGACGCGCCAGGTGGAGCAGGACCTCCCCGTCGACAACGACGACAGCCACATCGCCAACGTGGGCCGACTGGTCGAAGACATGGAGCTCAAGATGCGCAACCTGCTGCAGGAGGTGTACTTCGGCAAGGCTAAAGACGTCGTCGGCGACCTGCGCAGCGTCGGGAGCCTGAGCGAGGGAGCCAAGGAGAGGGAGACGCAGAGGGAGCTCATTGGCAGTATGAGGAGGTAAACCCCCAACCCCCAACCCCCCCTTGCTATTTACTCTCCTCTCGCCGCCACATTATTCCTCTTGCCTCTGAGTTCAATTCAGCATCTGCTTTCTCAATTGCACGTGTGCTTGATGATGTATACGTATACAGCCAATCTCCATTTGTATGCGATGTGCACAGATGTATCCTGGAGTGGCTATTATCACGTCGTAATTTTGCTTCTTCTCATCTTTGTCAATCCGCGCCCTCCCACCCCGAAGGATCTTTTGGTTAGAAGAAGATGGCCCGGGAATACCTGGGATAAAGGAGATGAGGATAGTGCAAGCATGCAACGATTACAAGGAGCTTCACCAGTTTCACATCCGTTTCCAGAGGGACGGGCGACATGGTTGCAAGTAGTCTTCAATTCCCGGGGGGAGGGAGGGAGGGGAGGGCGAGAGAGAGGGAGAGAGGGAGAGAGAGAAGAGGAGGACGGTCCTAGGATGATGTACGAATAGTTTACTGGAGAAAGTTGAACGGGTTGCTGGATATTCATCATCATACCATGTCTTGGCATTGAAGAGCTGCGACACCCCTCCCCCCTTTCGTCGATCTTAAAATAACGTTATAGGAATTTGCCGGGGGTGACCAACGAAGAGTTGGACGGTACTACTCCGTAGAAGCTGTCAGGTAATGACACATGTACGAGTCCATCACACTTCTCCGTACAGGTACGGAAAGAGCATAGAGAGTTGATATGAAAGTGGGGTAACGACCAGTCAACTCTCTGCCATGGTACAGAACAGGGAAGAGGAAGTTGATTAACTCGACATGGGTTTCCACGAATGCGTGTGCTGACCAACAGCTCCTTCATAATGGTTGAGCCACACACTGCCCGTATACTGTATCTGGATTAATACTGTACTCGTTATATATGTAATCGGTGTGTGTATGTGTGAAGATGCGAGTAGAGACATGATATTACCAGTAGTAGCAGTGGCAGCAGCAGTAGCAGTAGTAGTATGAACGGAGACTGGAATAGACAGACGAGGAGAAGAAGAAGAAGAAAGATAGTGATCCATTGTACACCCAACAGCGCAACACGACGTTTTTTTTTCTTTTTCTTTTGGAGTACCCACGGTTCGCTCCGTCCATCCGTCATTGTGGATTCGATGGACTGGGGAGGGGGAGGGGAAGACGAAGAAAGAGATTGACTTGCCAATCTGACAAGGGAGTTATTAGTTCCCTCTTCTTCCCCCCCCCCCCACCATGATGAAACTGTCCAGCTTTGTTCTCTGGAGGGCTGTTTGTTGTTGTTGTTGTTTTTTCTATCTCGTCCTTCTTATGGGGGGGTTTTTCTCTTCATTTCTATTCATTTTTTTTTTCAGTGCATGATTCCATTGTCAGAGTCTAAGAAGTAATCATTACGTAGGTGACATGTAAGAGGTTACCCGATCATGCAGATGTCAGACACATCTACCCGTTATTACAGAGTGCATTGCTGTGGGCGGCAACAGATCAACAAATTGCAACCTCGAGGCAGGTATTGATACCCTTATCCCTTTTTTTGGGAGGGGGGTTTTTTCTCTTGGTTTTTGGGTGACGCTAGGCAGCATAAAGCGATATATTAGTACCTACGGTTTGGGGTTCCGGGTTTATTATAACGTACAGAGTCGCCGTAGCTACTTGGGGCACGACTAGTGTCACGTAGTACCTACTATATAGTAATAATACTCCACGTAACAGTAATATCAATATTCCGTACACTGAAATGTACCTGCCCTCAGGGTCAAACTTGTCGCCACACCACTATATATTGGCCCCCACCAATTTTATTTTATTTTATTCCGGATACTGAGCATGATATGATGTTCTCTTATAGTGGAAGGAGAAGAGGTAGATACGGACGGACGAGGGGAGAAAGAAGAGTACGGCTATCTGTTACTCGCAGAACATGTGAACAGAGCTGTGAACAGGTGCGTTGCGTTAAATTGCTTCCAAAAAACTGGAGGGGCCTCTCAGTCCCTGGTAGGTGGAGAGGACCACCTATTTGGGGGGGGGCCCTAGACAGCTCCGAGTCACCGCGCGATCGAGAGCGCGATCGAGAGGGGGGCGGGGTGTCAGTCGAGTCCGGATCCCTACCTGCTACGGAGTACGAGTATATGTTATATGTACAGACGACAGATTACAGATTACAGGCGCGGTGGGACAGAAGTGGTGATGCTGACGAGGAGCAGCAATAGTCGGTATCGTGTGGTATTCGTAGGTGGTATTGGATATCATCTGTCTTGGCGGATAAACGGGCTCTGCATGTCCCGACTGCACCAGTACTGGCTGAGAGTAGGCGGGTGGAAGGTAATCACATGTAGATTCCAGCAGCAGCATCGCCACCACGGGCAGAAGACGGGGGTAGATGGTGGTATTCAGATATTCATAGAGGGGAGGGGAAAGAGAAGAGAGAGGGAGAGAGGGAGAGGGAGAGAGAGAGAGAGAGAGAGAGAGAGAGAGGCAGAGAGGCAGAGAGGCAGAGAGAATGCCAAGCCTCCGTCACCTCCAACGTCATTCCCACCGAGGAATTCTTATGTAATATTATTATTACTGCTATTACGTCGTAATACTCCAGTTGGTCTAGGTCGAGGTCGAGTCTTCGTTTCCTCGCCCTCGGCCAGTGTCTCCTGCGTGATGAATACCTGCAAACTCCTGCCCACCCGTCTACGAGTATCAGCCGGGTCAACAGGTCGAGCTCGTGTACTATCGTTACGACGTATCGATGCGGCTGGCATGAATTCGGTGTCGTACGGCCATGCGAATGCGTGGCCTTGCATCCCACCGTTGCCTGTCGGCATTCATGTACAGATTACGATACGGCAAAATACAGCAGACGACAGACGTATACGTGGTATTATAGAGCCCACCCAACGCGTACCGCCTATGACTCCTCCTCCTGGTAGATGATATGAAATAATGATACTCGTACTTCGTAGTATTTGCACCATGCAATCTGTACGGAGGATTGGGAGTATCATGACATAGACACCCCCCTCCCAAGACGAGAGATCCCCACTTCTCTCCCCGTCGCACACCCCGTCCATTTGATTCCTTTCGGGCCCTTTTTTTTTTTTTCCTGCTCTCCATCGCGCGCGCATCGCATCCATCGTTCTTCTAATACTAGCTAGATCCTTTTTTCCCCTCCTTCCCTGTCTCTCTCTCTCTCTCTCTCTCTCTCTCTCTGTCCCGCTCTCCCTCTCTCCCTCTCTCTCTCTCTCTCTCTCTATCTATCTATCTCTCCCTCTATCTATCTCTCCCTCTATCTCTCTTTCTCTCTTTCTCTCTCTCTCTCTCTCTCTCTCTCTCTAACATTCCATGTGATCACATCATCGTCACCGTCATCATCATCGCACTCGTATCATACTACTACAACTAATACTGATAGATAGTGTTACCCGACTTCACTTGTAGTACCTACGGGTGGTAGTAATAATACTCCGTAGTACTGGTGCATTATTAACTTCCCACCTCTCAAACCACACACCACACACCCTAAAAAWCCCCCCCCCCCCCGCCCCCTTTTTTACCCGTTGGTGTGTGTCTTCTCTTACCTCTTGCTCCTCCTTCGCGATCCAACGACACACTTTCTTCTTCGAACTTTCCCCTCCCCCTTTTTTGACAAGTTGCTTCCCCCGCCTCCCCCCCCCCTCCTTCTGCTTTCCTATCGGACCATCGCCTAGCAAAGATTCCGATTCGATACCGGCATTATATTTTTCTTCTTCTCTCCTATCTTCAACTCAAATCATCCCACCTTCCGTTAGGGGGTACAAGCCCTGAACTGGGCCACCTGGTCGACTTTCAGCTGTCACAATACCAGTCCACACTCTCCTGCTTCCCGGTATTACCACCACGAGTTCACTACTGCACAACGAGAGAAGAGCGACACCTCCCCCGCCGCCGGACACACGACAGAAAGAGATCGCTCTCTCTCTTTTTTCTTTTCTTTCTTTACTTTTTTCCCCCCTCTCTCTTCTCCTTCTTGATACTTCGCCGTTGAGCTGTCGCGCAGAGACAAACACAAGCCACACACGCCACAATGGCTGACGACAAGCCTTCGGTCCTCATCATCGGAGGACTGGGCTATATCGGCCGTTTCCTCGCCCTCCACATTCACAAGAACAACCTCGCCTCCGAAGTCCGCATAGTGGACAAGGCCCTCCCTCAGCTGGCCTGGCTTGCTCCCGAGTTTACCGAGGCTTGCTCCCAGGATAAGTTTATTCAGGCTGATGCTGGCAGAGCTGGTACGTTTTCATCTCCTCACCCTTGTCTATATCGATCTTCCCTTCCTCTTTCTCTGTGTTCTTTTTCCCCCCTTGTCTTGTGGGAACGTGATAAGACTCCCGACTTGGGGCGTGAAACACGTGGCGCCGGGAAAGATGGAGAAGAGATAGATATGCAATCTGTCTGACTCTCCTTCCTGTCCCATACAGAGGCCCTACCTAAGATCTTCAACCGCCCCAACGGCAAAGAGTGGGACTACGTCTTCAACTGCGGCGGCGAGACGCGATACTCGCAAGAGGACGAGATCTACAAGCTCCGGTCCCTCAACCTCGCCCTCGCCATCGGCCAGGAGTCGGCCAAGCGCGGCGTCAAGGCCTTTGTCGAATTGAGCACCGGTCAGGTCTACAAGCCCTCCTCGACACCTAGCAAGGAGGGCGACAAGCTGAAGCCTTGGAGCAAGATTGCCAAGTTTAAGTTGCAGGCTGAGGAGGAGCTTTCTAAGATTGAGGGGTATGTTTTCTTCTTCTTCTTTTTCTTTGTTTCGCTCGCTCTCTCCCTCCCTCTTTCATGTCTGCATACAAGGGGACCGACGCGGTACCGTCACGGTTCTCGACAAGAACAAGATGGCTGACTCTGATCCCTTTCCCTTGCTCTCTAGCCTCAACCTCGTCATCGCCCGCATCGCAAACGTATACGGTCCCTACAATAACTACGTCGGCACAGCCCTATGCATGGCGCGCGTATACCAGTGTCTGGAGGGGGAGATGAAGTTCCTGTGGACGCGCGACCTGTGCTCGTACACGGTGCATGTGAAGGACGTGGCGCGCATCCTGTGGGAGCTGGCGGACTGGTACGCGAACGGCAAGGCCGGGTGGGACAGCGCCTCGATGGGCGCGGTGCCCATCGTCAACGTCGTCGACGACGGCTGCACTACGCAGGGCGCCATTGCCGACTTCATCACCGAGACCATGGGCGTCAAGACCAACTTCCAGGGCCAGCTACTCAGCTCGCTGGCCCGGCTCAACCTCGACAGCATCGTCGACGACGCGAACGACGAGACCCTGGGCCCCTGGGCCGACATGCTCGCCGACGCCGGCATCACCCGGCCCGTCCCCATCTCCCCCTTCATGGAGAAGGAGCTGCTCAAGAACGACGGCCTGAGCATAGACGGGACCAGGCTCAAGACGTTGCTGCCGGGCTTCGTGTTTGAGGAGCCCAGGATGACAAAGGAGCTCGTGCAGGACGTGCTGGATAGCTATAAGAGGATGAACTGGTGGCCGTGAGATGGCAGCAGCGACAGCGCAAGCAACGAGTTTTCTTTCTTTCTTTCTTTCTTTCTTTGCGGGGAGTGAGAGGAGGACATGGGCCGGGGAGGTTGGTTTCATCATTTAGCTTGGGGTTGACAAACGGGAGGACAACATTTTTTTTTCTTTTTTCTTTCTTCTTCGTATCTTGCGTTTTGTTTGTTTTCCCTTGGATCATTTACAGCCCTCTCTTGTTTTATGCATGTATGAATAGTGTCGTTGGATGTGTTATACCGAGCATGGCATTGGTCTTCAGAGCAGAAAGAAGCAAGTTGATGATAGCAATGCAAGTGCAGATTACGAAAATATGCTCTTTGTAAGTAGGAGTACACGAATAATATTGCTACCAGCAGTGCTAGTCTTCTGAGGGTCTAGGATGATGCTAGGTGAAGACGAAAGTTGAGAGGGTATATGGAAGGGTGAAGTCACTGGACGGGTTCCTGGTAGCCAGGTACGGTATATCATCACCCGTTACCTCGCATTGGTGTCATCACGGTTGTTACCGGCGTAGTAGCAGCACCGGTATTACTTGGCACTCATTACCTGTACCACCAACCAGTATCGGTAGCATGTCCACTCGTATATCATAGACCTTTGCTATCCCTGTCCATCCACATGCGTAACGAGCGTTCGCTTCGCATCCGAGGTATCATCTGCCTTAGTAAGCTCTACACTCTCCGCCTCTACCGAGTGCTACCTCCGTACGACTGAATATAACTAATCTGTACAGGTACTGATACTAAGCGGGCACTACTAAGCGCGCGATAGAATGCCAAATACATCAACGACACTCCGACTAGCAGCTCCCCTGCCAGATCCCGAGTATTGTGTGGAATGTTGCATGCCAAGTAGCGCCGTTCCATTCCGTCTCCCCCGCCTCCACACCTAGCGACCGAAAGAGGAAGGGGGGGGGGGGGGGGGGGGGGGGGGGGGGGTTCAAGGTGAATCATCTGGGACAGCGCTAGGCAGTTTACGACGTTTGCTTTTCAGCATCGGATGAAAATGTATGTGAGACTCTTGTCTAGTTGGGATGGCGAATCGTGAAAAGTAATCCTTGGCAGAGGTGTAGATGATACTGGGTACTGGTACTAAATGGCAGCCGCGGTAGCAATGGTGGTGGTAGCAACACTCTAGTCTGCATAATATATGATGAGATCGAGTACCCTGCCCTCGGCGCTCTCATGTAGTAGATTAGTAGATATTACCGCGGCACAAAAACGTCACATCATGATCCTGATGTATCATTACCGACCTCGGGGCTCGGGGCAACGAAGAGCATCAGAGAGTCGTCTTTTAACTCGTGTCCGCACCGTACTCTCTCTTCCCTCTCCTCTGCCTTCTGAGTTTCTGTTACAATTAAATATATATATATAAATTTAAAAATACAAATCAAGGGCCCTGTCGATCTTGTTTCTCTTCCATCCGTCACTGTAATGCACCGTGTGCTTAGCGGTCGACGGAAGGAGAGTTGATTCATCAAGAAAGGGACAGGAATAGCTCCTGCCCTGCGCCCTCCCCCCCCCCCCGCCTCTTCTCCCCTCTCTTCTTCCTCTCTTCTCCCCACCTCTTCTATCCCCACCTCAACAACGTCGTATGACCCAACCTTTCTTTCTTTCTGCCCCCTTCTTCGCACCTCACTCAAAACACGTATAAAACAAAGATAACCATGGCTGTTCCCAACGATGTGACCCTCAAGACCTTTTCCGGCAAGTACTGGATGGTAAGAAAGGATCACCTCTCTCTCTCTCTCTCTCTCTTTTCTTTTCTATTTCGAATCGCAAGAGAATGATGATGGTTGACACTATACCGAAAACTAAAAACAAACAAAAAAACAAAAAAATAGAACAAGTCTCTGTCCGGAAACACGGAGTCGGTCCTCTCCCTCCAGGGAATCGGATTCCTCACACGCAAGGCCATCGGCCTAGCCTCGGTCCAGCTTGACATAAACGTGTACGAGGCCCCTCCCTCGCCGCCGAACACGTCGACCGACGTCGTGACCCACGTCGACATCGTCCAGACGGCCTCGGGCCTCAGCAGCACCCACGAGAACCGCACGCTCGACGACACGTTCCGCGAGCACAGCGACTGGATCTTCGGCACCGTCAGCGGAAAGTCCACCTGGGTCAAGCTGGAAGACATCGAGGACGACTTCCTCAGGGAGGGCTGGGAGGACGGCACGACCGACCTCATCCAGAGCTACGTCGAGAGCAAGGACAACGGCTGGATCGCCACACAGATCTGGGGGTTCCAGATCATCGACGGGGAGAGGAGATATTCCCGCAACGTACTCGTCACGAAGGATGACCAGAGGGTTGCCATCAAGCTCATCTACGACTACGAGGCTTAGATTTGGATCCGCTTTCTCTCTCTCTCTCTCTCTCTCACGAAATCACTCACTCACATACACTCCCACACATCGCTTACTCACTCGCTCATATATATAATACCCTCCTTTTTCTTCTGCCCACGCGCGTTGTAGATTCAGAACTCATGATCAATACGTGCTATACACAAACATTGAAATAAAACAGAATCATCTCCCAAGAGTTTCTGAAATGTTTGGATGCCTGCCATGTCGTGTGCTTGTCGAATGCTGGTCGGGTCAGTCATGTTTGTGCCGATGATCAATTATGCCTGTGGTTTGCAAGAGAGACCAGACTGAAGTCACCAATATCCCGCTCCCTCACCACCTCGCATATATTCAATCCCTAGGTCCTACTACTAGTCTCACTCATGCGCAATCTCACAATCTTTTGGCACTTGGTGCATGGCAGCCATGCTCCCACGCTGCTGCCACGCGTTCTGTCCTGACTGACAGTTGCTTGTCAGCTCACCCGCATCAACAGCTGTTCAACAGCTGGACCACCCCCCTTCTCACCCTGACAGATGTCTTCTTATCTGAATAGAAAAGGGGAAGTTTCGGAAACGAGAATGGGCTTGAAGACTTGATCCTTCCATCATCCTATCCTCTCCCCCATGACTCACTCTTTCCCTCATATCTCGTGTTTCTCTTCTTATCTCGGGGAGCATGTGCGTTCCGAATAGCATGTACCTCACTGTCACTTGTTCCTTCTCTCGTCTATATTAGGGCTTTTACCTTTCTTCTTCCTTTTTCCCGCCTTCGCTTCTTCTTCTTCTTCTTCTTCTTCTTCTTCTTAGCTCGGAGGTATTCCTACATCAGAGTTCAAGGCACATACACAATACTACCCACATATCTGTGTGACTTTTTTCTTCCTTGCGAAGATACAAGTTCAAGATACGCAGAGGAAGGATTCTAACGATTGGCAGAACAGCCGATTGCCATGTCTCCTTGGACCAGCTCTTTTTAATACACACAAGAGAACAAGACAATATCAGATATGGCTGGCCAGGAAAGCATGGAGATTGAGCCTCGGCCGACGAGCAATTCCAACAGCAGTGGCAGAGGTCAACAACAACTACCCCCCACGGACCGCGGGAGGCGCGCTTGGCTTGTTGTTGCTAGTGGGTTCATACAGACTTGGGTTGGCTTTGGTGAGATCTCCCCTCTCTCTCTCCGTGGCCCCTTTAATCGATCAGTGGTGTGGTCTACTTCGAAGAGGATGGAGACGACGACGAAGAAGAAGATGATGATGAATGAATGAATGGAGACAACGTGCTCACATCATGCAGGACTGGTCAACGCCTGGGGAACGTTCCAGGCAAAATACCCCCGTTTGCCTTGGGGCCAACACACGAGTCTTTCCGAGATCACTTGGATTGGAAGTCTACAGGTAGGATGAATCAGAGGCCCTTCCCTGTCAAGACCAAGATCATTCCTGACCAAGTATTCCCCTTGCAGCCCGGTATTCTCTTTGCCCTCGGTAGCTTCGTCGGCATCCTCTCCGACAAGGTCAGCGCAGGCATCCTCGTCAAGATCGGCACCGCTCTTTTCACACTCTCCTTCGTCTTTCTCGCCGAGTACGGGAACTCGTTTGCCACGGTCCTCGGACTTCAGGGAGTGCTCTTCGGAGTGGCCAATACTCTGCTGTAAGCTGTGGGTTCCTTTCCCCCAAGAGACATGTCGTACACGTTCAGCCAACTCGCATACCACCAGATACTATCCTGTCGTCAGCGTCGCCACCGAATGGTTTGATACCAAGCGAGGTCTCGCCCTCGGACTTATCTCATCGGGCTCCTCGATCGGAGGCATCTTCTGGCCTATCGTCGTCAACGCGCTGGACGGGAGATGGGGAATGAATCGAGCCCTCCTGGGAGTCGCCTTGATCCCCCTAGCCCCCCTTGCTGTCTCGTCCTTTATAGTCAGGGAGCGCAATGGCGGTGGTAAGGTGACACTTCGAAGCCTGTCTCGTGTCAAGGTGACGGTGCCCAAGTGCAGTCGTAGACCTATGCTGGATACTGCAAGCACGCTGCTCGGGGCCGTTGCCCAATCGCGCTTCATCCTCCTCAGCGTCTCCCTCTTCTTCGTTTACGGAGGCTTCCTCCTACCTTTCAACTACATACCCATGTTTGCCGAGTTCAACGGTCATGGGGGCATGGCAGACGCCCTCCTGGCCATCTGCTACTCTGGGTCGTTCGTCGGCCGCATCAGCACCGGCGCACTCGCCGATCGTTTCGGGAGGTTGGTTCACTTGTCCCCCTCGTTCTCCTCTTTTGGTATTTCGGTTTCCCTTCCCATTTTTAACCTTGTTGGGTCTTGGCCTCACAAGCGGCCCCTTTATTGCCAATGGTAGATGACCACATGTATTCACGTGCTGATTCTCGGCTTTTATTTTTCCTCTTCTTCTTTCAAATTCACAGCTTCCGGGTTTTGTGCATCATGTCCTTTGGAACAGCCACCCTCACGCTGTGCTGGATCTTCATGCGCACCTTCGCCGGTATGGTCGCCTTTGCTGTCCTCTTCGGCTTCTTCTCCGGCGGCCTCATTCCTCTCGGAGCCGTGTGCGTCGCCGATATGACGTCCCCCAAGGACATGGAGCACATTGGCTTCCGCCTCGGCTTCATGATGATGCTCTGTTCCGTCAGCACAGTAGGTAGCGGACCACTGTGCGGCTACATCCTGCAGAGCGAGGGTCAGTCCTAGCTTGGCTGGCTCGCTGCTTTCCTGTTCTCGGGATGTCTGACCATGGTGGGCAGCATCCTGATGCTTATCATGGGTGTCGTCAGCTATTTCCACGGTGGCCCCGAGGAATACGTCGTACCATCTTAGTCCAGGGGACACGAGCATGAGAGTTGTTTTCCAAGTGCAACTGAATCTTGTAATGCATAGCACATGCGATCAGACTGGCTCTACTCTTATGAGAGGCACTAAAATGTGGAATGTGATTGGAGAAGGGGAAATTGGTGGATTTCAGTGTCATGAATATTATGAATGAGGATTTGTTGTTGTTTTTTTCTTCCTTTTTTTTAATTTTTTTTAATTTTTTTTTGCTTGTCAGGGGGATTTTCAGAGGAGCAGTAAAAGTAATGTAACCTCAAATGAGTAAGTTTGATGAAGAGAAGACGTGACGTCGAAGCACACAAAGCAAAATATACAGGACAAGCAGTCACGAGTAAGTGATTTGAATCACTTTGTTCTTTCAGGTTGACGAGTAACAATGACAACTGTCATGACTATGTAGTATCTATTAGTAAATATTAGCGAGCTTCACCAACAATGATGACAAAATAATCCCAAACGACTATAATCAAGTACCCATGTCTGTTGAGTATAAAAGTCCCATGTACGGTCCTGTTGTTTCTTAATCCCGAAGCCAAACAACCTCCCAAACAGTAAAGAAAAGAAAAAAAGGAAAACGAAAGTGCATAATAAATGATAGGGGGGGAGAGGGAAGAAAGAGGTGGAGATGGTGAGAGAGTAGGGGAAAAGAGAGAGAGGGGGGCAAACAAAAGAAAGAAAGGAAGGAAGAAAAAAAGACAGAGAGAGGAGGGGGAGAAAAAAGACGGATGAAAGAAAAAAGACGGAGATAAGAAAAAAAGATAGAGAAAGAGAAAAAAAAAAAAGAGAGAGAGAGAGTCATTCATTCATCATCGTCATCATCGTCATGACCAAAGATAAAAGTGCTACCCGCACCAAGACCACCTCTTGTATCCGTCTTCCGAACGAGCTGCCAGTCCAGACCGTCCAGGGTGTCGACGACAAAGGGGGTGTCGTGCTCTATGTGTCGCTCCAGGCCGTTGGCAAAGATGCTGCGCAGCATGGTGAGACGGAGGTAGTGGTGCCAGGACTCGACGTGGGCGCTGTAGCCGTACGATGAGGAGGCGTTGCGCTTCCGCAGCTTGAGGCGGTATCCTACGTGGGCATCCGTGGAGGCGTCATCCCGCGACGATGATGATGATGCCGCTGCCGCTGCGGCGGCGGCGGCGGTGGCGGCGGCGGTGGAGTAGTACGGCCCCACGGAGTTGTCGAGCGAGGTGACTACGCTGCGGAGGGCTTCGCGGAGGTCACGCCTGTTGCGGCGGGACATGGACTTTGCCGCACCCTTGGTCATATCTCGGATTCGGGTGGAGAGGCGGGCGGGGTCGTATGGCAGGTCGTAGGGGTGGCCCTCGACTTGCTCGTGCTCGCGGGAGGACTCGAAGATGAAGGCTATGGACTCGGCCGCGGCGGTCTGGGTGTCGACGTCGGTGCTGTCGAGCTTGTCGACGAAGGCGTCCATGGTGTAGTCGGCCTGGGCCCACAGGTCACCGACGTGGGTGGCGGCAAAGCCCCACGACTCCAGGAGGGAGACGGTCACGGCGTCGCGCCCCACGGCCGACACCGTCTCGCCGTTGGCCTGGACCGCGTCGACCAAGAAATCCATGTAGTCGAGCACGTCGTCCTCGGCGGTGGCGCCCGCGCACGTCGACACCGTCAGGGCCTGCAGGGCCTGCACCTTGCACTCGTCGTCGTCGTCGTCGGCCAGGATGCGCCTGAGCGACGTACGCCACGGGGTCCCGTCGGCCGCGTCAGAGAGGCACAGCGTCAGCGTGTAGGCCTGCAGGCTGAGGGAGCGCTCGCGCGCGGAAGTCGCGCGGTCGGCGCTCCGCACAAAAGTCCCCAGGAGTTCGCCCGGGCTGTCCACGCCTTCCAGCTCATCGGCGTACCGGCTCCGCAGCATGCGAACGTAGTGGTCCAGGAGGAGGAGGCGCGTGTCGACGTGCGTTGGTTTACGGTCCTGAAGCTCCGACACCAGCTTCCTCGGGTCGAACGGTCCCTGCTGGTGGCCGTCGTCTGCCGAGCTGAAGGATAGATCTTTCTGCTGCTGCGGTTCGTCGTTGTCACCCTCGCCGCCGTCCGAGTCATAACGGAGTGGTGTGCCCGGTGGCGTGGCCGAGGCTTCGGACCGGGGCGCATCGTCGCTGTGGAACACCTTTTGCAGTATGTCGGAGCCGCCCGGGGATGCAGCGCCCGAGGCACGGCCGGATTTGCGTGCCTTTCGCGATACTGTCTTTGCTTCACCCTTCAGGGCGCGGACTCGTGTGTTACTCATTCTTTTTTTTTCCCCAGGTCTCTCGTCCTCGCACGCTCAAGGCCGGGGTCGGCGCACAGACAAGGATAAGGGTAGGCGTGAGCGTGTATGAGAGGGGCAATTCTAATTCTCTTTCTTTTTCTTTTTCTTTCTTTGCGTGAATGCGGGGGAGCCGGGGGAGGGGAGCTGCAGTAAGGTGACAAGTTCGTTAAGCAAGGGTAGAGAGTGTGACACGGATGGGAATTTAATAGAATGGGCAGTAGTGTAATGGATGCTAAGTCTTTAATGTTGAACACGGGGTTATACAGATTGTCGACGAATCCATGGGGAATGGATGGATGCAAGCAAGCGGTTGTATGCACGGTTATATGGATGAGGGCAAGAGTAAGAACCCCTTTTGCCCGGAATATATATGTGGTGTTGTGTGTGTGTGTGTGTGTGTGTGGTAATGCGGAAAAGAGAAAAAGAGGAGACGAGCTGCGATCGACGTGTTCTGTGAAGAAGAATAACAGCAACCTGAACTGCTCGTGAGGTAAAAATTTGGAAAGAGAAGAAAGACAAGTCGACAGGAAAATTTCCTTTACAATGAAGGCGCCGCCCTACGTGGAGGTTCTGGGGCGGCCATGATTGAGTGGTGACGTAGGTTGTGCTCAAGGTGACTCCACGTCTTCTTTTGACTCTATCATTGTGTATTACAGGCAGGAAGAAGCAAGAATATCCTGAGTAATCATGATTTCCGTTTACGTTACTGGGTTGCATGGCGGCAAGTGCCAACAGAACACATAGTATACTGCTTAATAAGTAACATCTTACTGCGTTGCATATTTAATACAACAGTCGGTTGCAGCATTACCCCGTAGTGATAGTATTAATATTCATAAGGATACAGCACTGGTCACGCGCATCATCAAGTATGCCAATGACGCATTAATCCGTCCGCCTAACAATCATGGATGCTTTTCCGCCTACGCCACGCCACGTCTATTCTATTTTCTTAGAGGGCTTGAGCACAAGAGAGTAAATATCAGTGTCTTCTTCTACTACCGAGCATTGAATGACTTTTATTTTACTTGACTGTGCCATGGTGACTCCGACTCGGCTTTTTCACACTCTTACTCTTGCCCCCCCCTCTACGCCCGACCATGCTGGCCCCCCCCCCCCCCCCCCCCCCCCCCCCCCCCCCCCCCCCCCCCCCCCCCCCCCCCCCCCCCCCCCCCCCTCCCCTCCCCGTATACTCCTCATCATCATGCACCCGTCTAGATTTGGTAGACCGTTTTCGAGATAAGGAGCAAATGAAGAGAGAAGAGGACGGAAATATTGAGTATATATATATATATATATCCAAGCGAAAGCAACTAAAGATGGACAACGCCAGTCTTTTCTCGCTGTTTCAGGCTCAGACTCTAGTGGTATTGGTAGTTGAGGGCATGCAAAAATGTGTCATTAACTGCAGGTGATCAGCTGATGTATTCGTACTCGTGGTGGCTAACCACAACCGTGCGAATTTCCTCACAATGCTCGGTACAACTCAGTGTCCTGTCTGGATCAGAGCATCAAACAGACACTGATATCATAGAGATGGACATGGCTTGAGCCAACCTGCAAGAAAAGTACAAGAACCGTGTTCTTTATACAAGTTCTTGACTCTGAACGAGTATCGTACAAGCTGAACATGTTGATATCGACATCCCCAGAAAACGGTAACAGTACAAACGGCACTGCGGCACTGCGGCATTGCTACACTCCAGGTATTATCAAGTACCCCGACTAGCGACCAAGTGAGGGGCAGCGATATCACGCTCCCTAATCCTTATCGTGCCACCCTTTCTGCCTGATTTGGCAGTCACCTCTGGCTGGTTGGCGCTTGCCCCACTTTAGCACCTCCCCTCCGTCTCGTCATCGCCCTGTATTGTAATACCAGGAGTAGCCTGTGCCGCGTTCTCCTCACCCCCCCCCCCCCTCCAGCCAAAAGCTTGAGTACCCTTTCCCACTCACTTCAACTGATTTTCTGCTCTCCTCCCATAAGAAACTGCAGTTTCCCACATCTTTCTCTTTCTTTTTCTTTTCCCAAAGTCTACCATCTGCTTTTGCCTATCTTCCGACTCCGAGTGCACCTTGACAGCATATCTGTCGACGCCTCCACGTCACTAGTCTGTCGTCGACTTACAACTAGACGACGACGTCCCGCCGCCCAACATCAGCAACTCGCGCGAGAGGGGCCCTTTCCCGCGGTCCTTCCGGACCAGATATCGACTGCATAGCTACTACAAGAACAAACGGTCTGGGGACCGACTCTCCGTTTTTTTCGTTCGAAATGTCGACCTCTTCGCCGTCCGGCCAGCAGGAGGGTATGTCTGATGATACAAAATCCCCCCCCCCCCCCTCCACTTCACCCGGTACATCCGCCATACCCACGACGCTCATGCTGACGCTTCTTCTACCTCCCACGTCATCAAGTCATTGTTCGTCTGAACACTCTCAGCAACACTACTGCCAAAGTTCGCCACCGTCGTATCGTTCTCTCCAAAGAGACACCCGTGGTTTCCATCGGTCGTACCAGCAAGAGACGGTCGTTGTTTGAGGCCGCCGAGACGAATGGATACTTTGACTGTCCTGTCATGTCTAGACACCACGCTGAACTCAGGATATATGCCAACATGAAAGTACGTGTCAAGCTTCCACGGGCTCGCTGGGTTCTACCATTCCACGTCGCACTCTTCGCCTCTCGTGGGTCGATTTCATTGCTGACCATTCACCATAGGAAGTCGTCCTTGAGGATGTCGGCTCCCTGCACGGGACGTATCAGAACGGCACCCGCCTCGCAACAAGGATTCCGAGGATCCTCTATTCAGGCGATATTGTCACTTTTGGAATGTCCATCGACAGAGGCTCCGAAAAGTTCTCTCCTTACGAGGTCAAGGTTGACATTGACTGGAGACATTCTCCGTAAGCTCACCCCCGTCTTCTGGGAGGCAACCCCCCCCCCGCCCCTCCCTTTCCCAAAAAAAAATAACCAAACCACACCCGGGACGTAAATATAAATACTCACCATTCCACCACGTGTTCGACAGGCCGCAGGACAAGCCCGTCACCTACAGGGTGCCCGACGAGTCGGACGTGGAGGATGAAAGCGACGACGACGATGGCGTCGAGATGTCGTACTCGAAGCAGGTCATGCAGAACAACAACTTCCGTCCTGCCCATCTCAGCGAGTTCGCTATTGACTTGATTTCGAACCCTTCCGAGCCGCATCCCTCGGACTCTGAAAGCCCTTGCAAGTCGGCACAGATTATGGATCTGACCTCTGATGAGGTTTCTGGAGTGACCACCGTCGATCTGGATGAGGCTCCTGAGGAGGAGCCCGTCACAAAGTCACCAAAAAAGTCGTCTCAGGAGACACCCGTCCCTGGAGCATTCAAGGATTACGATGATGGCTCTTCCGACGACAACGACGACGACGACGACGGCGATGACCAGTCCTCTCAGGATGAACAGGCTAATGAGGATGACTTTGTCACCGATAACTCGGATTCCTCTCCTTCTTCCGACTCCGAATCGGATACCTTTCCGTACGAAGAGGACCCATTCAGTCTCGGAGAGGAAGACCAGGCCGAAAAGGCAGCGACGTTCACTGAGTACGACGAATTCTCTGTGGATGCTAAAGAATCGCCAGTCTCGTACAATCCCTGGGTTTCCAGCAGCAGCCCAGTACAGGCCGCCACTTCGGAGATCGAGGAGCAGGATATTCCCGACAAGGAGCCCGTTTCCGTCGACGAGCAAGCCAAGGCCGCTGCTTCTACTGACAAGCTGATTCGTCCCGTGGGGGGCTTGTTTTCGAATCTTGCGGCTCTCTGCCCCGATGATCACCGTGCACTGTCTCTGGGTGCGCCCCCGACTATTGAGCGGGACAGCGGTGCTTGTGGTCTAAGCCTGAGTCCGGCTACGCCGGACATCCGGACGTCCCTCCCTGCCATCGGAAAGGGATTCCAACACTTTAGCGCCAGTCCTCACGCAGGCACGTCGTCGACAGCAGAGGCCCTCGGATCCATGACGGGCAAGATAGAGTACTTCCAGGCCAGAGAGGAGAACAGAAGAACCCTTGGCTTCCCTCCTCCCCGGGATGCGCCCAAGCACCAGCTAAGCTCTCTTCCGGCGAGCGCACTTCCATCTCCAAGCCCCGATAACAGAGCCCAGCTCCCTCGAGACGCCAAGGGTTCGCCGGGCGTCGATCCTCTCACAGCCGGTGCCGGCATGCACAACGACGGCCTGGGCCAGCCTGACGTCAACATGCTTGACTCCGCTCGCACATTTGACGATGTTCCCGCCCGGGCCAATCCGGAAGCAGCCGAGAAGCCGACCGTCCAACAGCCACAGCAGTCGAATCAGTCAAGCGGTACGGATGTCAACGGCACGGCCCCTGCTACCATTGCACCCAGCACTACGGCGACCAAGAGGAAGGCAGACGAGATCTCGGCGGCGAGCCGAGAGGAGAAGGTTGCGCTCGAGAGGGCCCAGTACAGGGCGGCCACGGATCCGGCGCAGGATTCGGCCAAAGCGACGGAAGACGCTCCCGTGCCTGCCCCCGAGGCGACGATGGCAGTGGAGCCCCGTTCCGCTCTCGGATCTGTCACGCAGTCCCCGACTGCAATCTCGACGTCTCACGACATGGATCGCCCTACCAAGCGATTCCGCCGTGCTGTCGAGGTGATTGGTTATGCGGCGATTGGTGGTGCAGCCGTCGTTTCGGCTCTCATCATGACAGCTCCCGCCCTTTAGCTCGAAGCTTGATTGACTCTTTTTCTGTCTTTTTTTTTTTTTGCCTATCAACTCTTCTTCTTCTTTCTGTTCTTGTTCGCTTCTTTCTCATCTATTCCCCAACGTTTTATGAGTTTTTCGTCTTCTTTGCCCTTGCGGCGTTAACTAATGTCTCGCCGGCGACGTACGAACACGGACTTTACGGGTCTCTTACCTTTTTTTCTTTTTCTCCTTTTCTTATCTTTCGAGGCGCCATGGAGTAAAAGTTAGGGTGGCTTTGTGTATCTCGGATTGCTCTGCATTTTAGCAAGAGGTCGTTGAGGGACGATATAAATAACGGACCACGAGTTATGGAAACGACAAGTCTTGACGAGTCTCTCTTTTTTTTTCCTCCTATGGGTCTGTCGACAAGGGCAAGGGACGATGGCTGCACACCTGACCCTTATCTACTGCTGATGGTAGTACTACTGTCTCAGGCTCGTTTGGATCGGACATGGTTGGCAAAGAAGGAGGAGGACAAATTGGAACGACTTTGCATTTACAAGTAGGGTAGTCTAATCAATATGTGCTTTTCCCAACAGACGCAGACTTTCTCGCCTTCCTCAATCTTAGATCTGCATTGGAATATGGAAGGCAAGGAAGTTGAAGATGTATACGACAGGTAGATTAATATACGAATAGTAGAGTAACAATACCTAACAATCGCCGGTACAGCTACGAGGAGTCAGCCGTACGGAGTAATTACAGAGTCCAATAAAGAATGACAAGAGCGTCGGGTGTGCTGATGATGTTCATGTTGCTGTAATATTATCGTAAGGGAATAATTCCTATATCGGGGGGGGGGGGGGAGAGGATTGGCACTTAACCCCCGCTATTCCCCAGTTCTGTCACTTGGGTGTGATGTGGACTCCGGCGTGCAAGGTCAGCACGGCAGCAGCAGCAGCAGCAGCAGACTCTCAACAACGCGGGCGGCCACGTCCAACCACGCCCACTACTATCACCGCTAGTACCTGTACGAGTAGTTCTGACCTTTCTTCTTTTTCTTTTTTCGGGAAGCGCGACTTTCCAAAACCTTGCGCCACACGCACACACACACACAAGTTGAGATTTCTTCCTCTTCCCCTTCCTCTGTCTCAGCGCCCGGCAAGCACAAACGGACCGAGTGGCAGCAATCTTTGTGTGCGCGCACGCGAGAAAAGCATTTGCTTTTCCCTGACACGGCAGGCGCGGCGTTGTGTGGATATTGATCAGGTCCAGCGGAGGTTGAAGCTTCGGAACTCGGAGCTCTCTTTCTCTCCCTGTGTGTGACCTCTTGAACGAACGAACAAACAAACGGACGGACGGACGGACGGACGGACGATTCAGAAAGAAGAGAGAAAAGCAAGTCATGAGGTGGTGAAGCATTCTTGGAGGTTTACAACTACGACGGTCGCCATAATGTCCGTCATACTATGTACAGGTTCGTTTACGCGCGGTGGGGAGGTGGCGAGAGTTGACATGGAGAGAAGAGAGAGGGATGAATTGCTGACTTGTGTGTGTGTGTATGTGCGTGTGATCAGCGGGATATGATCATACAATCAGGTACGCTTCGATCGACGGGGGTCTCGGATGGAGAAGAAGGGGGATGAGGAAGGCAGGCAGGTGGAAAGGGTCGGAAGAGGATTGCTGACTTGCCCGCCTACCTGACAGATTCTGGGAAGCCCTCTCGGGCATCTGCTCCCGGACGATCCAGCACCCCGACTCGCAGGTGAACCGGCTCTGCATCTCGCCGGACAAGAGGTTCCTGGCGGCGGCGGGCCACCACACGGTCAAGCTCTACGACATCAAGTCGACGAACCCGAACCCGCTCCTGACGTTTGAGGCGCACACGGGCAACATCACGGGTGTGGCCTTCCACTGCGAGGGCAAATGGATGGTGACGAGCTCGGAGGACGGGACGGTCAAGATCTGGGAGACGCGATCCGGGTCGATACAGAGGAGCTACAACCACGGGAGCCCGGTCAACGACGTCGTCATCCACCCTAATCAGGGGGAGATTATCAGCTGCGACAGGGCGGGGAGCGTGCGCATCTGGGACCTCGCGGAGAACAACTGCTCGCATGAGCTCATCCCGGAGGAGGACGTGGCCGTGTCGAGTGTGACCGTTGCTAGTGATGGGTCGCTTCTGTGCGCTGCCAACAACTCGGTATCTCTCCCTCCCTCTCTCTCTCTCTCTATCTTGTTTTTCATACACACACACACACACACACACACACAAACCTTTTTTTTTTTTTTTTTTTGGATAGGTAGCTAACGTACAGGTGTTTGGGAAAGGGCAACGTCTTTGTATGGCACCTGATCCAATCCTACGATCGAACCCAACTCCTGCCCGTCACCCACTTCAGCGCCCACAAGGAGTACATCACCCGGATACTCCTCAGCCCGGACGTCAAGAAGCTGGCGACGTGTAGCGCCGACCACACGGCCAAGATATGGGAGGTGAAAGATGCGGAGCCCCGGGCCGAGCCTGAGCCGAAGCCATTTCCCCTCGAAGCCACGCTGACGGGACACCAGAGATGGGTCTGGGACTGCGCCTTTAGCGCCGACTCGGCCTACCTCGTCACGGCTTGCTCGGATCACTACGCCAGGCTGTGGGAGGTGAGCAGCCAGCAGATTATTAGGCAGTACAATGGACATCATAGGGGGGCTGTCTGTGTCGCTCTGAACGATTACTCCGAGGCACGTTAGTGGTAGGTTTCTCCGGCAGAGTTCAGGTAACAGACAGTCAGAATCAAAAGGACAGAGGGTTTTTTTTTTCTGGTTTTTTTTTTCTACTCTTTTTTTTTCCTCTTCTTTTCTTCTTTTTTTCTTCTTTTGCTGTCTGCTTTCTGCTCTCTGCTTTTTTGCTTTCTCGGCATGATGGGGCTTGGCGACTCTTTTCCTAGATGCGGTTTCTTTTTTTTTTTCTTTCTTTTTTTTTGGAGGTGATTGTCAATAGGCGTTTGCTTCGTGTTAGGGCTACTATCAAAGTATAATGGCATTTTACTTGATATGTCTGGACATGTATCGTGTGTCGTGATGCTCTGTGTACGAGTATTAGTAATGATGCTGTATACTGTGAGTAGATGCGTACCGACAGTAAAAGTCACATGACCTGTACAGTCCTGCCAGGAACCATCTCCACCTGAGCTGCCAGTGGACAACCAAGCCTTTTTTTTTCGGCGGGGGGGTAAGAATTGATTTGATTTGAATCAGGTATCACGTACCAGGCAAGAGAGAGAGAGAGTATTGAGTGGGAGACGGGAAAGTTGTAACCATTGATGATGTGACGTATGAGAAGGAAGCAGACGTACACAATCGTCGTCGTCGTCGCCGTCGTAGTATAGTGAGTGACAATGTAGTGTACAAGAACTGATACGATTACCGCTGACCCGTCCTACAATACAGATTACAGATTACTCCATCTCTCTCTCTCTCTCTATCTCTCTATCTCTCACTCACTCACTCTCTCACCTTGGGGCTTGTAGGCTTGCACAAGACAACCAATGCGACGGCGCGGCGATGATGCAATAGCCGCTCCGTCCCGTATCCTCATCCGCTCCATGTTCCCCCTTCGGCTTGACCTGCGTATGGCCGACATCGCCGCAGAGGTTCCCCCCACCCTCAAATCAGGCAAATACCATTACCAAGGCTGCGTCGATGGGGTCCTTCCCTTCAGGTTCCCGCTTAAAAACGGATACCTTGTATTATTCGTCTATCGCCAGATGCCAGTATTATGGTTGAAACTTTGCGGTGATGACCACTGCTACTACTACTATTATTATGGTTGTTGTTATTATTATTATTTTTGTCATCATTATTATCATCATGATTATTACTACTTTCCCCCTTGGACCCTCTTTCCCATCTCCGCTTCTCCTGGGATTTTGAGGTTGGATTTCTAAGCTTTCCGTCGTCTTCCCCCACCTTTTTCCTGTATTTGACTCCTCCTCTGATGGGCATAGATGCGACATTTATGATAGGAGGTGTGATGTTACAGAGGAGGGGATAAAACTGGGAGAGAGAGAGAGAGAGAGAGAGAGAGTTGAAGATGAAGGAGATATTGCTGGTAGGAAGTAATTCCTAATGTCATTGAATAAAGACGACAGCGAGAATAAACTCTCCTCCCCCACTCACTCAGAACGATACAACCATTCAAGATGATACACCAAACTCCCCCGCGGAAGTCGGATAGGATGGTGATTCTCAGCCAAGTGTGGAGTTGGTAGACAAAAAAAAAAAAATTCAAAGAATCACCGTCAAAATGTCTGTAACGCTAAACCTTTTTTCTTTCTTTTTCCTCTTCCTCTTCTTCTTTTTCCTCCTTTCCCCCAACCCACTCTCTCCAGTCCCTCTTACTCTGTAATAGAGATCCCATGATTTACTGACTACTATTATTCCTTCTTCTCTCTACCTCATCACGCCACCCTCCACACCCACCTGCTTCCCTCCGCCACCTCTTTCCGGCCATCGGACCCTCTCTGGCCCAAGTTGGTCGCAGAATTGCAACTTCGCATCACAAGAAAAGTAATTAACCACCACCACCACCACCACCACCAAGAAAAATTACTCCGGTCGACCTTTCCTCTCGTATCTCTCTAAATCTGGAATCCTCTCTTCCGATCCTGATCAGGCCTAGTATTCGGTTCGGGGGGAGGGTACGCCGCGCGCAACTCGCAGAAGTAGAAAGGGAAGAGGCGCGGACGCTCGAGAGATAGAGCCATGGGTCTTTTGTATGTTTCTCTCTCTCTCTCTCTCTCTCTCTTCTCCTTCTCCCCCTCCCACATCCTTCTTCCCTTGCCTCTTGTCTTTCTGCTCGGTATCGAATATCTGACTTGTCTGATCAATCAGGGCGCTCGGGACGGCGCTGGACTGGCCTGATGCCAAGACAAAGGCTCACCAGGTGAGGACGTGGGGTATCAAGGTTGGTTCCACCCTTTCTGACGGAGATGCGATCCAACTTCATACCAAGAGACACACGCCGGAGAATCGAACCTCGAACCTCTCTCTCTATACGCGCGAAAACACACATGAAGACACATGAAGACAGGAAAAGGGGATGGAGAAGAGATGCTGACGAGAGACGCAATAGCAACTCTTGGAGATATGGAACAAGGCCAAGGGCAAGGAGCGTGATGCGATGCTATGGGGAGATGAGGTCAGTCCATCGATTTTTATTTGATTTTTTTCTTGCTTCATGGTTTTTTTTTTCTTTTTTTTTTTCACGAGATACATATATATATATATATATGTGTATACCCCAGCCGTCATGCACAAGGAGCATGAAATAGCTGACCGTGCTTGTCCATCAGGTCGAGTACTTGGTCGTCACATATGCCAAGGATGAGCCCAAGGTTCTCCTCTCGCTGAGACAGGCCGAGATACTCGATGCCCTGGCTTCAAACCACGATCTTGCCGAGAAGGGAGGATGCACATCTGACAAGAATGACTCCAATCTCAAGCAGAAACAGTAAGGTCTCCCGCCCCCCCCCCCCTCCCCCCCTTTCTCTTTTCCTTTCTCTTTTCCTTGTTCTTCTCCTTCTTCTCCTTCTTCTCCTTCTTCTCCTTCTTCTCCTTCTTCTCCTTCTCCTTCTTCTTCTTCTTCTTCTCTCTTACATCTTAGAGAGGCTAACGTGGTGGTACACAACCTCACCAGATCCAAACCTCTCCCCGTATTCCACCCCGAGTTCGGACGCTTCATGCTGGAAGCCACGCCCGGCAAGCCCTGGGGCATCGGCTTCAAGGAGCTCCTAGACGTGGAGCCCGATATGAAGCTCCGTCGCAAGATCGCCAAGGAGCACATGCTCCCAACCGAGTACCCCATCACCCTGACAACCTTCCCCCGCCTGGGCACGCCGGGAGAGTACACGGTGCCCTACTACCCGCCCTCGGGGCCCCGGCTCCGCTCGCAGTTCGTCCCCGACGAGATCGCCAACCCGCACATCCGCTTCCCCACCCTGGCCGCCAACATCCGCGCCCGCCGCGGCCGCAAGGTCCAGGTCAACGTGCCCGTCTTCCACGACGTGAACACGCCGACCCCTTGGAGGGACCCCACCGTCAGACGCGACCTGCACAACTGGCCCGAGGACGAGGACGTGCGCTCCGGAGGCGCGGCGCCCGACGACCACATCCACATGGACGCCATGGCCTTTGGCATGGGCAGCTGCTGCCTCCAGATCACCTTCCAGGCCAAGAACATCACCGAGGGGAGAGAGATGTACGACCAGCTCAGCCCCCTGGGCCCCATCATGCTGGCCCTCACGGCTGCCACACCCATCTACAAGGGGTTCCTGGCCAACACGGACGTGCGGTGGAATCAGATCAGCCGATCCGTCGACTGCAGGACACCCGAGGAGCTGGGAGAAGAGGTAAGTCAAGAAGACGAGACTCTGTCCTCCCTCCCATGATTTCTTTTTTTTTTCTGTGTGCGTGTGTGTATACGATCTGACACGGACATTTCCAGCCATTGAAGAATAACCGGTGGCGCATCCCCAAGTCTCGATACGCCTCCAACTCGACATATATATCGACGGACCCTCGTCTGCGAAAGGAGTACCTGGACCCCGACCTGGTGATTGACGAGGACATCAAGCGGCAGCTGCAGGACGGCGGCATGGACGACCTGCTGGCGACGCACTTTGCGCACCTCTTCATCCGGGACCCCATCGTCGTCTTCGAGGAGGACCTGCAGGAGCTGGACCTGAGCAAGACGGACCACTTTGAGAACATACAGTCGACCAACTGGCAGCACATGCGGTTCAAGCCCCCCCCGGCGGACAACAACATCGGGTGGCGCGTCGAGTTCCGGTCGATGGAGATACAGATGACCGATTTCGAGAACGCGGCCTTTAGCGTCTTCATGGTCCTGGTCACGCGGGCCATCCTCTCGTTCGGCCTCAACCTGTACGTGCCCATCAAGGTGGTGGACGAGAACATGGAGCGGGCTCACGGGCGGGATGCCGTGCTCAACACCAAGTTCTACTTCCGCAAGAATCCCTTCCCGGCGCGGCCTTCCAGAGCCAGCACGGTGGTGCACAGTGCCAACGCCAACGCCGGCGCCAACGGAGACGGAGACGGCGGCTCGTCGCGTCCGGGTTCCGCCATGCCCAGCCGCCCGCCCTCGCCGGGACCGGTGGAGGACGAGTACGAGGAGATGACGGTCAACGAGATCATCAACGGGCCGTCTCCGTCCTCGTCGTCGAGCTTCCCCGGCCTGATACCGATCGTGGAGAGCTACCTGGACAGCGTCAACGTCGACGTCGAGACCCGCTGCCAGCTGGCCACCTACCTCGACCTGATCGGCAGGCGGGCGAGCGGCGAGCTCGACACGGCGGCCCGCTGGATCCGCAACTACGTCGCCGCGCACCCGGCCTACAGGGGCGACAGCGTCGTCGACGACGAGCTCACGCACGACCTCGTCGGCGCCGTCGTCGCCGTGGGAGAGCGGGAGAGCGCCGGGAGGGACTTCTCGGGCCTGGAAGTGCCCGGCCTGGCTAGGCTGCTGGGCAAGTTCAGGGGCGGCTGCTCCTCCTCCCCCGAGAAGAATGGGAACGGTCCCGTCCCTGCCACCGTCACTGTACCTGTTCCGGCCGTAGTCGATACGGGTATCAAGGCTGCTGCTGTCGATGACGGTGGCAATGGAAACGGTGAGGCTCACCCGTCGACCACTCTGAAGCGTAAGAGCGATTGGATCGGTGACGGAAGTGGTGCTACCAAGGTGTCAAAGTGAAGGAAGGGTTTGGACTGGTGATGTCTACATTCATTGGAAATTGAAGGCATATACTTTTTTTTTTTTTTAAAAAAAAAAAAGGTAAATTTGATGTCTTACCACTTGGCTTTTTTTTCATGTTTTAGTTTTCTGTATGCTGAGCGTATTTTTTTTTCTGATAAAAAAAACAAATATCTATACAGAGTATACCAAGACAAAAGGAAAAAAAAGCTCGGGATGCTATACCGGGTAGGTAGTCGTCATATATTTGTTCATTTACAGTGTGACGGCATTGATCGATCGGGAACGGGTAAACCGACTACTCTTCTTCTTTTTTTTAACCATATATATATATATTATATATATAAAAGAAGAACCATGTTTGTGATGAATTATGACAACGAAGAAGAGGATGGTATCATACGGTGCTAACAAGGTAGATGCGAATACGAGGTTTCAGAAAATGTTCCACGGAGAATGTGACGAAGACGGGGAGGGATAATGATGCATACGAGTGACGAGATTACAAGTACAGATATTGCCGATTTTTTTTTTTTAATTTTTAATTTCTTTCGTCTTCTTTCCCTCGTCTCTATTCGCTTGTGCCGTTGGGCTTTTACCGTTCCTTGGGCTTGCCCGATCGACGGTTACCGCTGGTTCCCTCCCAGCTGTACGGTACACTTGACTTGCATGGGAATTATGAAATAAAGTTTTTTTTCTTTTCTTTTATAAAAAAAAAAAGAAGTATTTAGTATAAAGTATGAACACTTGTAGTTCTTGCTAGTACTTGTCGGTATTATGTGCTCGCACCGTTGACTTTGTACTTTCCTTCTTTTCCCAGCGTGTGGCATAGTTGCATTACCGTTACGACAAGGACATGGGTAGTTCAGAAAGATGGAGAAAGATGGGGGGGGGTGTGGGGGGTGTGGGGGGGGGATGGTTATCTCTCTCTACAAGTACGAGTTTGAGTATGATGACATGTAATACTCTGTCGTACTTGTATTCGGTTGGATTTTCAATTGCCGAATGCGAGATGAAAATGAACGAAATCTCTTTTTCTTTTTCCCCCCCTTTTGAGAAGGGAGGACAACAACACGAAAAAAAAAAAAAGTTCCACAGATTTGAAGATGAGAGGAATCGATCAAGACCCAGATACTAAAAAGTAAAAAGTAAAGTCAAATAGAACAAGAGAGAAAAGCAACGTTTCTGCATCTGGGCGAGTCTCTTCATGGTTCCAGCAGCATGATAGATTCCATGTGTTATCATTACTCGTTGAGGCGGGGGGGGGGGGGCTCTCGACAAGATGCGAGAAAGAGTCGACACAAGAGAAAACAAGAACTAGACTACCCGCGGCACACATTTCAATGTTATATATATACACATTACACGTCGGCGGTCTTTCTTCTCTCTCTTCTTTCTGTGCCGTGAAGGTAAGTAAAAGGGGAGAGGGGAGGCGATCGGCAGGCGAGAGGAGGATCTGATGGCGGTAGCAAGCAGCAGTACCATTTCATAATCTGTACTTGTATGGCTACTTGCTGTACGAGCACGAGCCGTTGATCCGAAGCAGAGTCATGACTTGTACCGTTACTTGCATCGTCACAGGATGGATCCGTCAGCTTCACCGGGTTGGACGGTGACGGAGAGAGAGAGAGAGAGAGGGAGAGAAAGAGGGAAGACTAGGGCAGTGCACATGGGTAGGTCAGAACAGAAGTTGTATCGGTGAATAGGCAACCAGGCAATCGACCAAAGTCTTCTTAGTCCATCCATGCATCCCTCTCACGCTACTACGGAGTGATGATACTCGCCAATAAGCACCGCTGCTACTACTACTACCCAGTCCTGCTCCTGCTGCTACTTATGATTTACCAAGTATTAATATACGAGTAATATATCCAAGATCGAGAATCGAGACGTACAAGCAAGCACGGACGCATCCATCGGTCCTCCGAGGGGTGGTTGGTCTCATACAAGTGCTATGTAAGGTAGTATATATATATGTATATATATATAAAGTGTATCGAATATGAATTACTACATTATACAGATCAGAGTCATATTACTTGTATTACTTGCATCGCAACTTGGTCGCAACATTACTAGTGTCTTATTACTCTCCAGCATCCTAGAGATAGACAAAATACCCCAACTTTTTCTTCTTCTTCTTTTTTTTTTTGATCCCAAGATGTTCAAGCCTGAAGCAACAATAATGTCCTTCTCATCTCATCTCACACCCGGGTCTTTGGGAGTTTTGCCCGGCCACGACTCACCGGGACTATCTGTACCACACTATTGATATAACACCCCATACCCCATACACTATATAATAAATGCAATACAGCCCCAGCCCCGTCACTGTTTTTTTTTCTATGAAAAAGAAAATCATAGAAAAGAATAAAAGTGTTTCGTATTTGCTATCAGACGATGAAAAAGCAAACACGGCAAAAAGATGGCTGTTGTCTGACATGGACTTCGCGGTAGACGCACACAATCAATATACGATACATCTACGTACGATACGATACATACACCCACCTACACACACACACACACACACACACACGTCATGCACGACATCTACCAACTTCTCATGCACAGAATAATATAGTATAATAATGAGGCGCGGAGCCGGAAAAGACAACCAGACGCCGATAATGCTGTAATAAACCCTCGAGGAAAAAAATAACAGAAACAGACGACGGCAAGACATGTAACAGACGAGGAACAGAGATGGCAAGAGAATAAGATATCCAAAAGCCCTTGAAAAAAAAAAAAGCAAGAAAAAGATGAGAGGGGTGAAAAGAAGAAAAAAAGAAAGAAAACTGGTTCTCCCCAAAAAGAGAAATGAAAAGCAGAATGACAAAATATGTACAGGAAACGCCCATCACCATTTTTCTTCACATCTCTAACTCCCCCGATATTTCAGTCAGTACCAGAGTTTGTTGCTGAGAAGAGAGAGAGGGAGGAGAGAATCGAACCTCTCATCTCCATCTGTTCTTCACGTAAAATGAGTCGACCATCAACTTGTTCCTCTTTTTTTATGGACAAAGAAAACGTAGCGGAAAGGACGTCGTGTCCGTCGAGATAGGTCGAGACCATGGCGTCGACAAGAGCAGGCGCGATGCAAGCCAGGAGGCAGAAGCGCGAGCCTACACCCTATCATCGGGCTTGGGTCGGATATTTCTCTTGCGCTCCAGCTTAGCGTAGTGGAGGCCGCAGGCGTTGCATAGGGTCCTGGCTCCGTCGGGGCCTCGTCGCCATTCGGGGGTGTCGACTCGGTTGCAGCTGTGGCATCTTCCGGGAGGAGCGGCACGCTGTCAATAACATACGTCAGCATGGATGAGGTAGAGCCGAGGAAGAGAGGGGAAGAGGAAGAGGAAGAACTCACGCCACGTCTCTTCTTGGGATCCGGGCAGGAAGGCTTGCCGACCTCGTACATGGTCATGTCCTGCTCTTCGTAGGGCAGCTTCATGGGCGGTTGCTCGCGGGCGCGCTCGTTGCGGATAGACTGCTGCACCACCTCCTTGACGCGCTCCAGGGCGGTGCGGATCATGTCCGAGTTGGAGAGCATGTCGTTGACCTCCTGCTCGGTGGGGAGCCGTTCCGGGATCGGGTGGGCACCGTGCTGCTCCTGGGCTAAGCGGGCGTAGGCCTCGGCAAAGGTGAAGAGGGTGTGCGACGACTGAGCGAGCTGCGAGGGTTCAATGTCAGTACTGCTGCTGCTTCTCTCCACGTCTGCAACAGGGGGCCGAGAGGGAGGAGTGCGTACCCGTCCGAGAGATTCACCATAGTTCCATGGAGTCGTGTAGACCGAGTGCTCGTAGGGCGGTCTAGGCGCGGCCCTCTCGGCCTCCTCTGGGTGGCTCACCGAGGATCGCTGCTCGTAGGGAGAAGCGTAGCTGTGCGGAGGCCCACCGTGCCTGGGCGAGGCGGGGTACTGCGGGAGGGGCATCTGGCCGTGAGGCAGGGACGCCGTGTGGTACGGGGTGGGCGCCTGCGGTGCAGAGGTGGGCGGGGGAGGAGGGTGCTGGTGCTGCTGCTGCTGCGGGTGCGGGTGCGGGTGCGGGTGCTGCTGCTGCGGCGGCGGCGGCGGATAGGGAGAGGGGCCGCCGTTCACCGGGCGGTGATCCCTCTGCGGCTCGCCGGCGTAGGGGTGCGGCGGGTATTCCGACTTGACCGATGGGCTCGACCGCCTGTCGGCGACGGCCGGCAGGCTGTGGCGACCATTGAACGAGGATCTCGGCGAGTCGGTAAACGAGGGGAGGTGCTCCCGTTGAGGAGGGGGAGCGGGAGGGAAGGATGGAGGCGGGTGAGAGCTTTGGGGAGAAGGGTGCTGCGGCTGCTTGTCGGCCTCGGCGTAGGACCGTAGCGAGGTGGGAAAGGGTGAGGAGTAGTTGCTGGGAGGCTGGATGGCCGGGGGGGGAGGCGGCGGCGGCGGCGGGTTGGCGTACTGGGTCGACTTGGTGTTGGAGATGACCTCGGAGATGGAGGGGAGGGACTGGCGCTTGGACGGGTCACTCTCCTCGGACAGAGGCCGTCGCGGATCGACCGACGAGATCATGCTTGTGGGCGGCGGATAGCCTGACGGACCCGACGGGTATGGGTTTGCTGGCGAAGGGTAGCCAGAGGAAGGGTGCAGAAGAGTCGCCGTAGCCATGCTAGGATGACTGAGCTGTGGTCTCCTGGCTATCGGTTCGTGGTCGGATGGGCGTGGGTGGTGATGGTGATGGAGAGGAGGGGGGGGGAGTCTGTCGTGGATGTTGGCAGAAGGACCGCTGATGCCATGTCAGTCACTGGTAAGGAGAGCGGGGGGGGAGGGAGGCGGACAAGGGCCATGTAATAAATATATGTTGTAAGGGGGATGGCAGATGGAGCGATGACGGATGGCAGGATGTAATAAAATGGGAATAATATGGGATGTGACGATGGGGGCATTTGAGAGAAGAGAAAGAGAGAGAGAGAGAGAGGAGTGCAGTGTGGGTCTGGGTCCGTCCGCCGTTAGAAAGCAGCAGAAATGTGAGATTCTCACCTTTGCCTAGCTCCAGGATCCGCCGTTTCCATAGCGCGTCTGGAGAGGGCGAAAGAGATCCGATGTATTTCAGGGCCGGGGACACATTGGAATCGTGTAATGTCCCGCGGCCAAGAAGCAGAGTCGAGTCAGGGTCCTCAATGGGGTTGTACCGAGAACTGCAGCGCTGGTGTTGGCCGGCTGTTTTTCCTTCTTCTCCTTCTTATCTGATGGGGGGGGGGACAGGTGTGTGTATCTGTCGTCGTCGTAGTCGTGGGTATACCGGGGGAGAGGGGAACCAAGGGCGCAGAACAATAAAAAGCGACGCACTCGCGATAAACAGATGCGTCGAGATCGAACAGCTGACGGGTACGCTATCAAGGGGGGGGGAGGGGGGCACGTCGAAAGCCTAGAAGCTCCGGGGGCGGCAGGTAAGAATAACAGGAAAGAGAGGTTGGAGGGAGAGAGAGAAAGAGTAGGAGGTATGTTGGAAGGAAGAAGGGGAGATGGGCAGAAAATATGGTAGAACCACACACGCGAACACACGACCAAAGCTAACGGACCAACGACAGAGAAAGAGAAGGAAGGAAGGGGAAGAAGAGGAAGATAGAGAAAGGGGAAAAAAAAGAAAAAAAAAGAAAAAAAAAAAAGAGGAAGACACGAGGAGTGGGAGAGATGTTATTAGAAAGGGTGTGTGTGGGCAACCACAAGGAGCATGGGATGGACAAGGGCCCGTGGAGGAGGAGAAAGGAAAGAAACGGTGCGAGCCGCCAGAACGGAAAGGTTTGGCACCAGCGGGCTGGCTAGACTGGTTCTTTGGGGGCCCTTTTCCCTCCTCTCTTTTTTTTTCTCTCTTTCTTTTTCTTCTCTTCGGGGTGGAGTGAGGGAGAGCAGAAGGAAGAGAGGGGTGGCCGGGGGGGGTGGGCCAAGATAGATGAGCGAGTGAGAGAGAGAGAGAGAGAGGGAAAGAGAGAGAGTGAGAGATGGTAGAATTTACGACGTAGTTTGGTCCCGCTCCATAAGTGGGATCCACGGTAAGGCACTCCCATGCCACACGCGGCGGAGAGCGTCCAAGTGTGGTGGTCCCTTTTTTAGTCTGGAGGTGTGCTGGTATCTTTTATTTTCTTCTCCTCACGCCACGGCTCACGCGCAGAATACACACCCCCCTCCCCCCCCCCCCCCCCCCCCCTCCCCCCCC